AAAAGGTTGAATCCATTAGGTGACTTCTTCATCTCTTGAGAGTCTCTGGCCAAAAACTGTCAGGCGGCAAAAACTTTTCAACCCACGCTCGAAAAGGGACAATTTTTGATGAAAAAAAAATAACAGCAGAAACTATTAGAGACTGACCACACAACAGATACCACACCAGACCACACAACTGAACAGAAGTGAGAGCATAACAAAGAAGTTTTTGGATGCCTTTAAGCGGACACTATTCAATTTCAAACCAAGGTATTGCAACAGGATTGCATCCATTTTTATTTTAAATTTTTAGCTCTTTAATTCCCTTTTGGGCTATCCTTCGCCTCATACCGCTGCCTACTCGGCTGCGTCAGTACATTAATGCCTTGGGCCAGCCGAAAAATACAGACTCGGAGAAAATATTCCCCTGCAAGCCCAAGACATGCAATTTGTTATTGAATTGTATTTTGGTGCATTCAGTGGCAACACGAAAAACCCCGCCATAGAACAGCTTTTTGCTAATTGCTTAGTCATTATTTTATTGGATAAAACGAACATTAACAGCCATCGACCAAAGCGCAAACGATCCCAGCAGCCCCTGGATCAGTGATGGCCATGCAGCTCACTTTGAAGGGCTTGCCGCAGGCGCGGCCCAGCTCCTTCATGGTGCCGGCAAAGACCAGCGCCTCCACCTTCTTCGACTTGGCCTTCTTCTCGATGTCGGCCTTCATTCCGACGTTGGTGTCGCCGGCGATGATCACCAGCTTGGCCGTCTCCTTGCGCATAGCCTTGAAGGTCTCCTTGAAGCCCACAAAGTACTTCGCGGACAGGATTACATCTGCCAGACGTGCGTTGAAAATATCCATCTTGATTGTAGTTTTCTAGTTGTCGACTGCCCAGGGGGGAACCAATTTTAGTTTATGCCCGAGATTGTCGTTGGATTGATGGATTGTTGCACTTTTACGAACCTTTTTCCTTTGACTAAATATATAAATTCGCTCCGGTTTTCCTTGCTACGATCTGAACACTGCAGTGACTTCTGCTAGAATAAATTACTGGCAAAGAATTATTCAATGAATAAAGCATAAGGAAATATGAACGCTTGCTTGGACTGAGATTTTTTCCCGTTAGTTCGAAAAAAAGTGTGGGCATTATACGGCTTCTTTTTTGCGAGCTGAATGTATGGTAATGTATTGCGGCAATGGAAACTACATTTGCGAATGAATATATTAAAGTCAGCTTGATCTAGCACTCAGATCAATGAAAGTTTGCACCGCCTAAAAGTGTCATATATGTGTGACCAAGGGTGTATATGCTGTTCTACGGTTACACTGTTTTGTGTGTTGTTTAATAACAAAATCTGTTAAATATTAAAATTTTGTATGAAAGCATTCAAGAATGTTTTATTTCTAGTGCTAATCGGTATTAATAATTTGAAATTCATCCCATTGCGCATTGCAAAAATCTTTAAAGAATATCCAAATACCCTTTGCCAGAGAGAGAGAGGAGAGAGAAATACAATATCAAGAGACTGAGAGAGGGAGAGAGATACAGATAGAGAGGCGTGCGGGTAAAAACAAATAATTAAACTCGAACTTTTTCTGCCCACCCAAACAGACAGACAGACAGACAGAGAGAGAGACAGACAGAAAGACAGACAATACAAATATTAACAAAGGGAAAATGCACAAAATTTATTTTACTTGTCATTAAAAGAATGCCACGCCCACACCGCAGGAGAAGGATCAGGAGCAGCAGCAGAAGCAGCAACCCTTTTTTGTAGGAATAAAATTAATTAAATAAATTAGAAGTTTGCCCAAAAATAAATTGAAATAGAATGCTTTGACAGTGCAGGCAGTACCAGTCAGCAGTCAGAGCAGTCAGCAGTCAGGGCAGTCAAGCAGCCGCGTTCCAAACGGTGTAATTAACTTGAAAGACGACGAAGAACCAGAGAATCCCCATACCCTCTCTTCAGACGAACAGACGAACAGAAGGCAGTGCCAATGCCAGTCGCATTCACAAAGCGGAAGCGGATGGAGTGGTTGGATGGTGGAGATGAGGAGCAGCAGCAGCAGGAGCAGGACGAGTGGGAGGTGACAGGTCATGGCTTGGCATCGGTCACAAGTGATTGCCCTTTGTCAGAAGGCACTTGAGTGGCGGCGGCAGGCAGCAGCGTTGTCGTTGTCATTGCAACGTTGGTAAGGGAACACCACAAAAGCGGAAGAAGCGAATGACAAGCAGCACGACATCCATTAAAGCAAAAGGCAATCTATTTGTATGCGGCCGAAACACAGGCGACAAAAGTGTCACCACACAGCAAATGCTTGAAGGGGCTGGCCCCTGCCATTCTCCCTTTACGACTCGACTTTGAATAGTTCCACAGCTGACAGTCGCTTGTTTCGAATGTTTCTGAAATATCTATAATTATTCCCCTAATTGCCAGAGTTACCCGCCTCAGACATTGACATTTTAGTCGCCCGTCTCTTCGCTTAGATGACTCAACCAGTGAGTCTGCAATCTCCGCCAGCCGTTTGTGTCATTTGGCCATCACTGGCATCTGCTTCAGCTTCAGCTTCAGCTTCAGCTCCAGCTCCAGATGCTGCCAGTGCACTTTGTGTCAATGTTATGCACATCAGCCGGGTGCAGCCGGGTGCAGACGGTGGAGCCGGTGCAGCCGTGGCAAAGAGATGGCACACCATCAATGGCAGTCAGTCGTCAGTCAGTGTCTTTGCCATCCGACATTCCCTCACAGTCTCTCTGTGTCAGAGTCAGTCCTGCTCTCTGGGCATACGCTACTTAGCCCACAAAATTGCCAACTTTGGCATTTTCCGTGTGCGTGGCTCTGGCTCTGTCTCTGACTCTGCACCCCAATCCCAAATCCTGATGTTCTGCTGTTCTGCTGCTCTGCTCCTGGGGCAGGCAAACCTTCGTTTGCAACCAGTTGTTTGCATTGCAGCGGCAGATGCTGTCAATAATAAATTTCCGCTTGAGCCGCAGCAGATTGGGTGCGCTGTGCTCCGCGCTGCATGCCGTGGGGGGGGGGAGACGAAACGAAACGAAGCGAACCCAGTTGGCTCCACTGGCGGCACGTAGCCAAGGCAGATGAGATGCGATGCGATTGGGTGGCAGGAAGGAAGCACATAAGCGCATTGCGCCCGAGACAAGATGTAGGAGGAGGAGGAGAGTGGAGAGAGGAGAATCTGAGAGAGGAAGTACAAGTAGATTGCAGCACGGCACTAAAAAGATGACATAAAGATAGAGACGGGCGGGTGTTGAAATTGAATAGGGGTAACGAAGCAGGGAGGGGGCTACATCTGGGTGGGGGGGGCTATGGGTAGTGGTGCAGGCATGCAAACGATGCGATGCGATGCGCTGTCGCCAGATAAAGTATACGACCGATTGCCCGTTTCTGCTAGACGAAGCTCTGCGAAAAGGAAGAGTCGAGTCGAAGGCGTTCAACGACACTAGCATAGGATGCAAATGGAAAATGTCTTGCCAAGAGCCAACAGAAAGCGCATAGAAAAGAGACAGAAGAGCGACAGAGTGTAGACAGAGGGAAGACAGAGACAGAGACACAAGGAGAACTCAGCAGGCGACACGTTGATAAATTTATTGAAATTCTATTGAAACGAAACGATTTGACTGCGGCTCCCAAGAACCAGGGACCAGGCACCAGGCACCATGGACCAGTAAAAAGACACACAAATCGCTGATAAAGTGGAAAATGAGCGAAAAACAAAAGGAAACAAACAAACAAACAGAAAAAAAGGAAGAAAAACTCGTCGTAAATTGCAAATAAATTGCAGCTTTTCGAAAGGAAAAGCCATCACATGCTCTCCATCGACTCCAACCAACATCGCCTGCCCTCCGCTCCGCTCCTTTCGACGGGCAATTAAACTTTGGCCATTGCATAAATTTTGATCTGGTTCCGTTCTGTTTCATTTATGGGTATATATATGTATGTATATATTATGTACATATATGTATATATATTGGCCATGTACATGAGTACTTATATATATCAAATCTCGGGGAAACTTTGCGCTTAATTTTTAATTTTCTCTTATTTGGCCTTTGACCTGGCCAAGCCATCGCTGGACAAGCGATGCTCAATTTAACCTGGGGGCCCCCGCGGCACACGCTTCACTGGGCACCTCAAAGGAGGCAACAACAACAAACAAAACAAAAAAAGAAGGACTCTCGCCCCCACTGTTTCTTGGCGCATACTTAAGGGGAAACCCAAAGGAGAAGAGGCAAAGAGGAGAGGAAACACACAAAAAAAAAAGAAGAAAAATAAAAAAGATAACAGAGTAACAGGAGACTGAGAAAAGGCCAAATTTAATTTGTGTTCAGTGGCTGTGGCATCTTTTGGTGCTGCTTCTGCTCCCCCTACTTCTCCGGCTCCAGCGTCTTACGTCCTACGTCCTGCATCCTGCATCCTGCATCCCCTTGGTTGCTGGCTTCATCTCTGTTGTGCCATGAAGAAATTGCTACCCAATTACGTAATAAAATCTGACTGAAGTTTCTACTCTTATTATTTAATTTTTGCTTTATCTGCCGCCCTGCCCCCTGCCCTGCCCCCTGCCACACCCTGCCACACCCTGTCTGAAGCGGCACACAAATTGTTCAAGGGGATTTGCCGGGCGAATAAAAGTTGAGCAAATGGCGGAAGGACAACGACGATGACGCTTGGCGCTTATTAAGAAATAATGCTGTAAAAACAAAACGCTATGGCGTCAAATCAACTTTGTTTTCTTGCCATCAGCAGCACTCAATGGAATAAAATGAAAAAAGGAAATGCTCGCAAATATATAACACACACACACACACACTGAAAAGAAGACGAACGCAAAGGCCAGTCGAGACACAGCTCTGGATATTATTCATCAGGCTATCCGCGGGGCAATACTCGTAGGACAATTACAAAGCGCAAAGCGCAAACAGTTTCGTCTTAACAAAAGTCTGCGTGAAATTAAAGCTTAAAGAAAAAAAAACAACTGTCAAAACAGCTGTCAAAATAATTGTCATGTCATTTTATTTGATTTGATTGATTATTTGGTTGAAGAAACACTTAACAGCCATCGACCAAAGCGCAAATGATCCCAGCAGCCTCTGGATCAGTGATGGCCATGCAGCTCACTTTGAAGGACTTGCCGCAGGCGCGTCCCAGCTCTTTCATGGTGCCGGCAAAGACCAGCGCCTCAATCTTCTTCGACTTGGCCTTCTTCTCGATGTCGGCCTTCATTGCGACGTTAGTGTCGCCGGCGATGATCACCAGCTTGGCCGTCTCCTTGCGCATGGCCTTGAAGGTCTCCTTGAAGCCCACAAAGTACTTCTCGGACAGGATCACATCTGCCAGACGTGCGTTGAAAATATCCATCTTGATTGTAGTTTTCTACTTGTCGGCTGCCCAGGGGGGGGGAACCAATTTTAGTTTATGCCCAAGATTATTGTTGGACTGTTGCACTTTTACGAACCTTTTTCGTTTCACTAAATATAGAAATTTTCTCCGGTTTTTCTTGCTACGATCTGAACACTGCAGTAACTTCTGCTAGAATAAATTACTGGCAGTGTCTGAAGCATTATCAAATATCAACGCCTGCTTGGACTAACATTTTTTTCCCGATTATATTGTGAAAATAAGTTTTGGGTAACATTCAGAGTGGTTTTTTAGTGTTGGCTAACAAGTATTTAGTGTGAGCGTTGACCAAGTACCACTGCAGTCACTTATTGGGCCCTGATCAACTGGCACGCCCATTGCTAGTATTTGATTAAATTTGAATAAATCATCTGCTCGTGCAGGAAATCTTCCGTCTGACTGTTAAGCAAACAAAAAGAGACAAGTAAATGAATTGTGGCCGGGGAAATGCTGGAAACGTATAAAAAGCCAAGGCAAGGCACACGAAGAAGAGGCAGGCAGGCGGTGGGGAGAGCAAGGCCAGGGGCATTGTGTCGAGCCTAATAAGTGGCCTGTGGTGCAGCTTATGAAGGATGTGGTAGAAATCTTCGAGTCCTTGCCTCACCCACACACACCCAATACATATACATATACATGTATGTATATGTGTGTGTTTTTTTCCGGGTGTTTTGTAATTTAAGGTTATTTTATATGCCTAAAAGCCAGTGGCGCTCTCCCACCCACAGAAGCACAGGTGTGTTTATGTTGTTCCGCCCCTTCATGAGTGAATTTCTTGTTGGCAATTTATGAATCGACGAATTAAATTATGCGTGCAGTACATACATTAGAAAAACAAAAAGAAAAAACAGAAACAGGCGAAGGCGAAGGCGACAGGAAGCGCAGAAACAAAATGGAGCGTAAAACGAGTCGAGCCATAGATAAAAAAAAGAAAAAGACTAACGGTAGGCGTTAGGACAGGGATTGTGAAATTAAAGAAGGTCGGAGCTAAACTGAACAGAACAGAACAGAGCCGTATGATTGGGGATACAATGGATGATCGAATCTTTCAAATATTTGCAGTTTTATTTGAGGTCCCACACGGGTCCATAAAGTATTTCTCCACTTAGCTGATGAACGTATCTAAAATGTATCATTAGCCCTCAATTTGCGGCATTCTCCGAACTCCTTTCCAGACATTTTCCCATGGCCATTTTATTTCTCATTACACCAAAAAGGGAAGAGCAAACGCAAATAAAATACAATAATACAAAACGCAGAAACGAAAACTTCAATTGTGTGGACGACGCTTTGGATACACTTTTCAAATGATAAAAGTGCATTTTTATTACAGATATTTAGGGGTTCTATTTGGCCAAATATCAGATAATAATAAATAATAATAATAAATAATAATGATAAATAATAATAATAAATGATAATAATAAATAATAATAATAAATAATAATAATAAATAATAATAGTAAATAATTTCATTCTGTTTTAGCAGCTATTTTGCCATACTCTCAATACTTAGATTTGCAAGTGCTTTCTTTTCCTTTCCATTCGTTTTCTGTGTGCCAAAGTTTTTATTTAATTGGCATATACCCTTCAATGGCAGTGTACTCATCCATAAGCATTCAAAATGATATTCGCCGGCTTGCTTGCTTCCTGCAATGGCCAATCAATGTGCAAATCTTCTCTTCGTCTCTCTCGCTTGCTGTCTCTATATATATATTTGTGTCTTCTGTTGTGTCTGTGTGTGGCAAAGGGCAATAATCATAAAAAACCGTCAAACGTTTTGTTTTTTGTTATTTTGTTCTTGAGAATTGAGGCAATAATGCCAAAACGAAAGAACCCAGCACTCACAGAGAGAAGGAGGAGGACTGATGAAATGAAGGCAGCAGACTCTGTCTTTGGCTTGCGATTATTTTGCCATTACTTTCCATTATTTTACTTTATTTCAATGACTGTTTACATAAGGACACACACAAAAAAGAAACACAGAGTCGCACTCATACACATACACACACACACACATACAGCATGAAGAGAACGACGCAGAGCAGATAAGTGTTGCATACTTTTGAGCGCTTGAGCTCCTTATTTCGGTCTTTTCGTTGCTTTCTTTTGTTTGCTCGTGTGTGTATGTGAGTATTTATCCATGTATGGGTGCATCTGTGTGTTCCACTTCACTTTGGTTATTGAGCAGCAGCAGCAGCATCGTCTCAACCACAGAAGGAATAACTTTTGATACTTTGATTTCATAATACATTTTCGGTTTTATTTTTCTCTCTCTTCGTAAGAAAAAAGTACAATAAAAAATCCTGTAAATGTAACGGTAACTGTAACTGTATGTGTATCTGTATCTGTATCTTTCAATTGCAGGCGGAAATCTGGAGTGTTTTCATAGCGATTCTGCGTAAGAGCGTCCGCAATCTGCAGGCCTGCACAGATGTTGGCCTCATCGAGCATGTACTCGTCCGTCTGCAGCGCTCCGAAACGGTTGTGGCAGGTGAGTGATGCACACACACACACACACACACACACACACACACATGCTCACATGCTCACATATCACATACACATCCAGGAGAAGTCTTTTGAAGAGTTTTGCTGATGGTTTAACAATGGGCGATAGAGAGAGCTTTCCTGCTTATTTTCCACTCATATTTCAGGTGCACTTTAAATCAGGTTTGGATACAGATGAAAGGGCTCTTCTTTGGGCTTTTCTTGTCCTCTATTCAGAGGGTATTATGTGCCAGATACATTATCGAGGGGGGTCCAGGAGTCTGCTTTGACCCCCGATTTGCTCTGCTGTTTGTCTTTGGATGCTTGGATCTGGCTTGTGGAATTGCTTCTCGATTAATTTCACGCTTGTCAGCAGCACTGACACGCCCAGTCCACAAAGGCAGGCTCTAACACAGCTACCCCCGACCAACCACAGCACATGGAGAACACACAGTGGTGCACAGTGGTGGGTGGGTGGCTCTGGCTCTGGCTGTGGCTGTGTGTGGGCACCCCGGGAGAGATACGAGATGCGATAAGAGAAGCAGCAGTATGGGGGCTAAAACAAGCAGCTCGGCAAATTTGCTGTTCATTAGCGAGCCACGGATATCTCATACTCCTTACAGACCCCCACCACACCACACCACACCCTCAAACCCACCCACCCACTCGCACCATTCTAACAATCTTGGCCTCCCCTACCCATACTGCCCCACCTCCTGCCTTTCTGCCATGAGCATGTGCGGGCCTTTGGCTTTGATTTTGATTTTATTAAGTCAATGACACATCTGCGGTCTCCCAGCCAAAGACAGGCCACGCCACGCCACGCCACGCCACGCCACGCCACGCCATGCTGCCATCCAACCAACCAACCAACCCGCTCCATCGCTCTCTCTCTCTCTCTTTCTCGCTCTCGCTCTGTGGCCCCAAGCCCCTGGTTCATGCCGCATTTAACGAACTGTAACTGCTGTCAATTTGCAGTCGCTGACTTTTGAGCTTCATGTGCGGAGCAGACACGCAAGACAGACGGACAGACAGTCAGACGGAGTTCGAGTTGGGGGATGCCACAAACAAAGACATAATTTCATACATATGAGATGTCTGTCTATCTCTATCTCTATCTCCCTCTCTCTCTCTCTCTCTCTCTCTCTCTCTCTCTCTTTCGCTGCCACGCCCTCACCTGACAAATGCCAAAACGTGACACTTGCCAAGAAATTAGATAAGTTAAAAGTTCGTTCGTTCGTTGGTTCGTTCGTTGGTTCGTTCGTCTCTGTCTCGGTCTCGGCTGAAAGTTCAACTTGGAGCTAAACTTTTACAAGTGTGGTTTTCCAGCCACGATATGCGGGGGGTAGCGACAGAGAAGGAAGCGCTGAAAAAGGAGCGTAGAAAAAAGTGAAAAACCGAAACGACTCCACTGCCAAAACCAGACAGAAATAAGTTCTGTCCTAGAGCTGCTAATCATTCAAAACCCACTGATCAATATGGCAGATATGGCAGATATGCATTAAATGGTTCAAAAAGTCCCGAATTTTTCCCAAAGTTTCCAATCAATTTTTAGACCCAATTTTTAGTTTCCAGGGGCATTTAATTAAAAATAAATTCTAATTTAATTTTGGTATAAAATAAAAACTATTTTTAGAAGCATCAATGCAGCATTCTAAAATGAGTCACAGTAATTTTCTTGGCTCTCTGGTTTTTCTTGGTTTTCTGCAATTATACTGCAAACAGCAAATCAGCCCTATCACCCTTAAAAAGAGCTAATTAAATGTTTTAAAATTCGGCTTAATTTAGATTACTTTTTAACGTTAGCTAACTGCTGGTCGCTTCCGTTCGACATCAAGGAAATGCCCCCATATGGCAATCTGATGTGCCAATCTAATATCAGTGCAAACCACAAGACTTGTAAATATTTTGCTGGCTATTACTTACCTATCCTCGTATACTCCCCATTCAAAGGGAATCCGTAAACATAGTGAAAAGAGATTTTGTTGCACTAAGCGCTCTGTTGCCTCATAGTTGACAATGTTCTCACCCATTTATGGCTGCTTGGATGCTGCTCCCCAATGATGACAATGATGATGGGGGGAATGGGGGAATGGGGGTAGCAGTAAAAACTTTGGCATGCCAAAAGAAAATGTAATTAAATGCTGATGAAGCGGTGCTGCTGATGCTGATGCTGCTGCTGCCAGACACTGCTGGAACCTCCGCTGGGGAGCAACTGGGAGACATTGTCGTCTTGGGAATGTCGCCTAGGGGCCCACGGCGGCATGTAGCCAAGAAGGAGCTTCATGGGAGGGTGGGGTGGTGTGGGGTGTGGAGTTGTTCGGGTCCAGTCATAAGCCCAAAGGTACTACCTCCCTACAGCCCCATGGCTGTCTGTGGCTTCATGTTACTCAATTTCTTAATTTACGCAACCCGAAACGTGTTGATGGAGTGTGGGTGGGTGGTTGGGTGTGTCTGGGTGGAGCATCTTCTTGGAGGCTGAACCACGGGGGCAGGGGCAGGGGCCATGGAGGCCAGGGCAACAGTCCAAGCATTAAAACGGCCCGAGCGTCCCATTTCAATTAGTGTGCATTACAAATGAAGTTTGGGAATAGCGCAGCAGAGGCAGAGGCAGTGGCAGCGGCAGTGGCAGTGGCAACGGCAGTGCCAGATGAAGCCAGGCCCCGAGGGCGTGTTGCAAAGTTGGAGAAGCACTCGGGGAAGAGAATTGTGATGGGGCTTGGGTTGGGGATGAGTGGAAATGAAGCTCTGTAGGTGAACCACCGTAGAAGTGTGGGGCAGGAGAGGCGCTGGGGCAATCAGTTTGAACTCTGGAATTAATAACTATTTGGCCAAGCTTTTGGCCAAAGTTGATTGAAAATGCAGCAGGCGCAGGGGCGGGAGAAGCAGAGCAAAACTTTGCCATCATCATCCACATCATCATCATCCACGTTGTGGCTTAGTGAAGACGTTGAAAGATGATGGTGCCATTTCTTCTGTTCATAAATAATGTTACAGCAAACAGGAAGGGCAGGGAGGGGAAAGTTAAACCGCTGAAGCATTCCAAAGCATAAATAAAATTAAAGTTTTCTATCTATCGATTGTATGCGTGTAGTAAAGATCCTGCTCAAGCTGTTGCTCCACCTGACACTGCCAGGGATCAGCGGCAGCACTGCCCTGTCAGCCCCTAAGAGCATGTGCTTGTCGCTTGCCTGAGTGTAAGTGCGGCAACTGACACGGCAACTGACACGACACCTGAGCTACAGCCTCGCGCACTCGCGGCACTGAAAGAAAATCTCGACTGGAAGTGCATAGAGAATTGTAGGGAAATGCACAGAGACACCCTATCCTATAGGGAGGATATACCTCTGTACTCTGGCCCAGCGGAGAGAGATTTATACAGCATTCCCTGCCTGGCTGGCCATATCCATATCCATTAGGCGTTTCCCGTCAGCAGTAAAGAGCCGCCACAATGGCCAGCACCCGCACCCCGCACCTGCGCACACATAAACACATACAAAATGTCACCTAACATAACATTAATGCTCTTCTTCTGCTCCTCCTCTTGGTGGCTATCTCTTCACTGCAGATCTGCTCATCGAGATGCTGGGCGTTTTGGCCAGCTATAGCATAACGGTCAAGGAGCTGAAGCTGCTCTTTGGCACGATGAAGGCAACGAATGGCAAGTGGCCGCGGCACTCGGCCAAATTGTTGAATGTCCTGCGCCAAATGCCGCATCGCAACGGGCCCGATGTGTTCTTTAGCTTTCCGGGCCGCAAGGGATCGGTGAGTAAAAAAACAAAACAACTACAACACTGAATAAAAATCAAAGAAAAAGAAAACATTTGATTATATAGCTATGTATTTATTACATTGAATACATTTTTATTTGATATTATTCGTTGGTGTCCGCCAAGAGGCGGAGAACGTCCTGCGAGACCTTCGCATCGGTAATGACCATTGTGCCCACATTGAAGTACTTGCCAATGGCATTGCCCAGATCAAAATTGGTGCCACTGAAGCACATCAGCTGGGTCTGTGTCTCAGTGGCGTATTTCTCGACCTGCGACTTCATATCGTTGGGTATGTTGCTGGCCAGGATCACCAGCTTGGCCTTGCCCCCGCGCAATGCCTTCAGCGACTGCTTGTAGCCCACGATGTACTTGCCATCCTCCAAAGCCACCTCCAGACAGGCAGACAAGTAATTCATTCTGGTCGACACTGTAACCCCAAAAAACAATTTACGATTAGGCGCACACCGTTTACTCCAACTGGCAGCTGGCAAACCTTCTTTGTTTTCCACGCGAAAGTAAAATATTAATTGTAGAACGCAGCACAAAATTTAAGTTTCACTTTAGTCGTTCAGAAAAATACTGAGAGTTGCCAGTTCTTGACAAGTGACACCAAAGCGACAGTGCTGTACAGTGCTTGTACTGTGTTGAGAAATGTTCAAGTGTTGGCAAATGTGTGCCTGGTTGTTTTGTGTCAAAGTAGAATATTGAGAAATGTTTATGGAATGCAGCTGGAGCCGCACAGGCTCAACACGATACACATGACGTCGAATGATGTCTCCAGGGCACACAGGGCGGGGGCTTTTATTTTATTGCTTGGCACTTAAAACGAATTCGAAATGTGTATACGTTTTTTCCCATTGTATTCCATTCCGTTTGCCCCTCTAACAGACAGCTAATGGGTGAGTGTCCAGGGACAGGGACCGGGCACTGGGACACTCTATCGATGTGTCCATCTCCCCATAAACACATAAAAAATTCCATAAAGTGAATTGGAAGTCAAATGCGAACGAAACATCGGTGGAGCGCAGCGACGGAGCAATACCAATCGCAATTGTCGCACAAAATGTCCAATAAACAGGGCAGGAACCATCCGTGCTTGTGCCTGTGTCTGTGCCTGCTCCTATCATCATCCACCCATCCCAAGCCACCCACCCACCCACACACCACACCACACCACACCACAGCACACATGCTGGTGGTTCCTGGTCCCCTGGATTTTTCCCCCCACTGTCCACTTCATTGCTTTTCGGACGAGAACTTTTCAAGCATTTGGGGGGTGGGGTTTTTTTTTTCTTTTTAATTTTTGGCTTATCCTGAAAGCCCCCCCAACACCCCAGCACACTGTGCAGTGTGTGTGGCCTGGCACCCACTTAACCACCGATCAGCGATCCACACGGCCATGGCACCGGACGACTAATGCCGTTGATGATGGCACGCTGATTGCAATGCAATGGCAGGCAGTGACATCGAGGCCAGAGATTCGATTCGAATAATGAGATTTTGCACAGAGACCAAACCCACACTGCTCTGCCCCCTTGGGGGTGGCATATCCGGTGCTCTGTTTCCGCTGTATGAAAGAGAGGAGAAAGAGGGCGAAAAGTTGGGCACTGCAACCGCAGCACAGCTCTAACAATGTCACGTCCGCCTGGCACTAACTCATTTAGGGCATCGAGAAAGGAAAAACCAAAGAGAGACAGAGCCACAGACAGAGCCAGAGACAGAGTCCAAATGTCGATCCATAGAGTCGTGATAGGTGACCTTTGCATTCAGTTGATTGCCATAACAGAGAAGAAATACTTGACTGGCATTTGAAGGGCAATTAATGAAAACTATTGGTATTAATCCAATGCCATTTGCATACTATATATTGAGAGCCAAAAGTCAAGTGCCACACAAGAAACAACAAGAGACGAGTAGATTGCAGTTCATTGGCAATCATTTAAGAGCTGAATTCCAGTCCGTAAATACTTGCTGGCTGGCTGGCTGGCTGGCTGACTGGCCAATTTATGAGCTCCGTTTGGTAAGGAAATGCCACACACAGTCTGGCGTTTTCTCTGCATTGTCTGTCCGATAAACCACAGAATTCATTTCCTTATAATTTTCAATTCGGCTGCCATTTCTCCTTTGAATTTTGTAGCCACAGGACTCAAAGGGAAGTCTGAGTGTGGGTGGTGTGTGTATCTGTGTGGAATGCCACAAGTACTACACCCAAGTCAAAGCCCATTCAAAAATGTACAGCAAACTTTGATTTATGTCTTCAGAGCAGAACGGAAATTGCCATTGGCCTCAGAACTCTGAATTCTGAACTCAATTTTGAAACTCAATACCAAACTAGAGTCTCTCTCTCTCTGGCTTATTTGACTTATTGCTGAATGTTGGACAAGAAATGCAGTTCATAATTGGTATTTAACTGACTGTACAGCAACAGCAGCAGCAATCGATGCTAATCTGAAACATATCTCATATTTGATTTGAGCATTTTCTTGTTTATTTGCAGGCCATGGTCCTGCCACCGCTGGCCAAATGGCCGTATGAGAATGGATTTACCTTTACCACATGGTTTCGCCTGGATCCCATCAACTCGGTGAACATTGAGCGCGAGAAGCCCTACCTTTATTGGTATGTCATTGCCATCTGCCAAATTTGTTTCCCTTTTTTAATTTATTTGTTTCTTTGTGCGCAGCTTCAAGACCTCTAAGGGCGTGGGCTACACGGCGCACTTTGTGGGCAATTGTCTGGTGCTCACGTCCATGAAGGTGAAGGGCAAGGGCTTTCAGCATTGTGTCAAATATGAATTCCAGCCGCGAAAGGTACGAAAATGAACCTCTCTCTCCCACTCCCCTCCAAAGAACTCTATTTAATATATTTATTTGTACTTATTTTTTAGTGGTATATGATTGCCATTGTGTATATATACAATCGTTGGACGAAAAGCGAAATCAAGTGCCTCGTTAATGGACAGCTGGCCTCTTCGACCGAAATGGCCTGGTTTGTTTCCACAAACGATGTGAGTATTATTCTATCCATCATCATATCCATTTTTTGTAGCCTGCTTAAACCTTTCAAATTTTTGCATCTTTTTATGCATTGGCAGCCTTTTGACAAGTGCTACATTGGCGCCACACCGGAGCTGGATGAGGAGCGTGTCTTTTGTGGGCAAATGTCGGCTATTTATCTGTTCAGCGAGGCGCTGACCACACAACAGATCTGTGCCATGCATCGCCTGGGGCCGGGATATAAGGTATGTGCTCCTGTCCACCCCCCCCCCTCAATGAAACGCCTCCCCCCTGCACCACTGCACCCTCTGGAGCACCGCCCAACCACTTTGCTTTTGCGCAGCAAGCAAATGTCCTTGTCCCTTGTCCATGTCCTTGTCCATGTACAGAAAATAATGTAATTTGATTTCAATTCTGTTTTTTTTTTCTTTTTGCTCTACTCTTTCTCTCTTTGTCTCTCTCTCTCTGTCTCTCTTTTTGCCGCACACTCGCTAACCTTTGCACCAATCACCAAACGATAATCGGCAATCTAATATCGACTATCGACCAATAAACAGTCGCAATTCCGCTTCGATAACGAATGCTATCTGAATCTGCCGGACAATCACAAGCGGGTGAGTCACTTTCAACTGTTGCCAGCCACATCGCTGATGGTGGCAGGGGGACTGGGCGTCGGCGGCGGTAGTGGGAGCGGCGGCAGTGGAGCGGGCGGCAGTGGCAGTGTCACCGATGCCGCTGCGGCAGCAGCCAGTGGCCAACAGCAGCTGCAGCTGCAATTCCAGACTCTGGCCGCCGAGCAGGAGGCTCGGGCCATTGACTGGGCAGACGAGCGGCTCGATCTGAATGCCGCGTTCGTCAAGATTCGGGCTGTGCTTACCGCACGCAATGCCGTGACCCTGGCCGCGCTACCAGGCGCAGGAGCAGCAGCAGCAGTAGAGCAGGAGCCACAGCTGCAACAGGCCACTGCTTCCGGCGTTGGAGGAGGAGCAGCAGCAACAGCCAACGAAGGCGGCAGCAACAGCCACGTGGGTGATCCACAGCAGCAGCAGCTGGGCCAAAGCCCAATCCCAATCCCGGGCGGCACTGCGGACGATCCGCTCGGCCATTTGCCCACTGGAAATGCTTCTTTTGGTATTTATATTCACTTATGATTTGCCCTTTGTGTCGCATCAGTTTTGCTTAATTCTTTTCTGATTTCCATTTCCAATTTGTTTCATTTTGTCGGGGATAACTGTGTTATGCTGTGCTGTGTGCAGACCAACTGCGTCGCATGTCAAGCAGCGTGAGCAGCCTCAACTCCGGCCTGACAGCGGGCGGGGCCGACACCGAGGAGATCAACCAGCTGAAAGCTGTAAGCGAACTTTACCATTTCTTTATTATTTCTTATTATTTTTGCTGTTTAATTTCCTTTTCGTTTAAGTTCTTTAAGTTTTGTTTGCTGTCCCCCCCAATACAAGTTTTTCCGATACACCTCCAAGTACAGTCAGAGCAATTAGGAGGATATAGGCAGGCACAACTGGTTGGGTGGGTGGGTTGAGGTGGGTCGTAGCAATCAAATCGCTACGAAAGTTTTTGTTTCAGTTTCAGTTTGAAGCGTTTTACGTTTTACCGCCACGCAAGATGAAGAGGAACATTTTCATTTTGTGTTAACGGCTTTTTAAAGTTTCCTTCAAGAGGGGGCAAAGGTCTGTGTGTGTGTGTGTGTGGGGGGGTTTTATGGCTTCAACAATGCCTCGAAATGGAAGTAAATGTAGCGTATACTTTGGGCAGGTGCACGAACCACCCCACCACATACCCCGCGTAGACAAACGAAACCCCTAGACAAAGCCAAATGTAAGGCTCCCTCGCCCCCTCTCACTCTCTGTTTCTCTTCACTCCTTGTATGCGAGTAGAGTAGATTGTTTGGGAAATCTTTTGGGCGCGCATGTTCCATATTCCGTGGCACACAGAGCCAGAGCTTCTCACACATTTCTATGCTATGCCATGTTCCACATTCAGAGCCCAGCCCCAAAACAGAATCCGAAACAAGTCGTTCTGTGCCGTGCCGTAGCCGTAGCCATTAACCGCCCATCCACCTGCCTGAGCAGAGCGGGGCATTATGCCATTTGCTTCCCATTCACGTGGTGGTGCGGGGCGGGGTATGGGAGTACTTTAGTTATTTTGAATGTTGATTTAATGGAATGGGAGAACACACACAAACACACACATACGAGTACACAAATTGCGCTTTTAACGGGGAGTAACATGTACCCATATACACCATAGTTGGGGGGGAGTGGGAAAGTAAAGCTGAACAACATAGGAGGCATACGAGAGAGAGCGAGCGAATATTCAATCTTTGAATAATAATATGAAATGGGGCATCCAATTCAGATCAGATATTTTTTAAGAGTTTTTTTATTTGTTTTATTTGCTTGAATTTTCGCTTTTGCTTGGTTCATTTCTGTTTTTCGTTTTGCAAAAGAAGTATTTTTAGCAGCAAATTATGCAGCCAGCAAATCCAGCAAACAGCCAGCAATATAATAACTATAATTACATACATACAGCCCCGAACATATATACATATATATTAATAAATATAAATAATATTAATAATGCTAAACACGAGCACCAGCTTACACCACCTGCGCACACCACCAACCGACCACCACACCACCGACTATGGCCTATGGGCGGCCATCAAGAAAAACAAGAAAAAGAAGAAGAAGGCCATAATGCACCAGCAAGAGCAAAGCAAAGCAAAGCAAAAAAAAGGAAAATCAAAGAAAAGAAAAAACTCACCGAAAGCAAGTGGTGTAAAATGCATCGATGCGTGTTGTAAATAAATATATACATATTAAGTATATAAGGATTCCTATATACTCCCCTCCCATATATACAGTACAGTGCCGTCCATTTGTATATGTTGTTGTTAGTTGTTCAAGCCAAATCTAAAGCTAAAGACAAAGCCCAAGCTAATCACACTGCCACACTACCACACCAGATCTTCAGGGGAAGAGCTGTGGCTGCTGGTGCTGGGGTCCGTGTCCTAGTCCTAGTCCTAGTGCTCGAACTGCTCCACTCAATGACTTTTGTTGAAGGCCATTCTAATCCCTCCATATCTACCATTTCTATCCCCCCTGCCGCACAGGTGCTGTATGATGGCAAACTATCGAATGCCATTGTCTTCATGTACAATCCAGTGGCCACCGATGGCCAGCTCTGTTTGCAGTCATCCCCCAAGGGAAATGTATCATATTTTGTTCACACGCCGCATGCGCTGATGCTGCAGGTAAGTGCCACACCGTGACCAAACTGGGCGGGGTGGGAGTTCCGTCCTCCGAAAACATAAATTCCATGCAGAACATTTTACGACACGAGCGCATGCCTTGGCATTTGTTATTAGCCTTGGGTCTTGGTTCTTGGTTCTTGCTTCTTGGATTTGCCCTTTAAGAAGGGGCTTTCCTTCCTAGTTCAGAGTCCGGCGGTGTCCACAGAGGAAACGGCAGTCCGTTAGGCGGACACAAAATTATTCAATAAATTTTGTAGTAATTTCCTGCACAAACAAACACGAATAATAAGGGTCAGGGCAGGGCAGGGCAGGCCAGGGTAGGGCCAATCGATGAACTAAGAACGTGTCCCCGACCCAAGCCCTGGGGTGGACGACAGCTTAGGCGATTACCAGGGGGACCAGACTAACCATATTTACCGGGTGACAAGTGGGCAGGGGGAACGGGGGCAAGTGGAGCCCAAAGACGGATGATTAAATTGATATTTGCCTTTGCAGGATGTTAAGGCGGTGGTCACGCACTCGATACACTGCACCCTAAACTCGATTGGCGGCATCCAGGTGCTGTTCCCGCTGTTCTCGCAGCTGGACATGGCCCACGAGGGCATTGGGGACATCAAGCGTGATCCCTCCCTTTGGTAAGTAATCGAAACGAAGCACACCCCAACAGCTCGGCATGAAATCATGCAATCCACACGACTCGATTACAGTTCGAAGCTGCTGGGTTTCATCTGCGAACTGGTGGAGACATCGCAGACGGTGCAGCAGCATATGATCCAGAACCGAGGCTTCCTGGTCATCTCGTTCATGCTGCAGCGCTCCTCCCGCGAGCATCTGACGCTGGAGGTGCTTGGCTCGTTCCTCAATCTGACCAAATATCTGGTCACGTGCCTTTCGGCCAACAGCGATCTGCTGCTCAAACAGGTAAAAGCACCCGCGCCCGCGCCAATCAGCCACCAACCCACCATCTCTCATGAATTTCCCTATGCCATTTGTATTTACGTATAATTTTACATAATTTTTGCCTGCGTATGTTAGATATTAAGAAGGGAAACAATCACAGCCTGAACGAACGCGCTCTATCAACCATGAATGGACCACGCTGCGTATGCGCAATGCGTCTGCCAGAGCATGCTTACAGATACAGATACTGATAATGATACTGAATTTTGTCGTTGAATGTCGTTTAATGTCGTTTGAGGATTACCAACCTATGTCTTTAATGTACTATAATTTTAATATGTATGTATATCCACTCCTAAGTTCGATCTAAGCTGAGGGCGGGATGGGGTTAGCATGTGAAAAGCCTCCACCCCACCTGCAAAACACCGAATGATATTTGATTGATGATTGCGCATTTGAATTGAAAATTTCGTTAAATGTTTTTCCATACACACAACCCAAAACCAGCGCAAACCAGCCCAAACCAGCCCGTAAACCTAACCTATATCCATGCCCATGCCCATTCCGAATCCATTCGATTGTTAACGGTGGCATGCTAACTCAATGAATACCACTCAAATGATATGCCAATTCTGCTTTCTATGATATAAATTATATATTTATATGCCTACTATACATTACATATATGTATACTTATCTCTATCTATCGCACTCACTGTGTTTTTTTTATTTTTTTATTTGCCTTTTGTTGATGATGATGATAATGATGATGGTTATTGATGGTATATTGATGATATAATGATGATGATGATGGCGCACACAGTTGAACACAGGCCTGCGTAATCCTTTCAAAAAAGTAAACACAACCGTAAACAAATGCTCACATTTCTCGTTTATAAGTAACTGCACTTGAGAATCTCTTAAGCAAATATACCACCACCGTACCCACTCTCTATAGACTCTACTATACACACACACACACACCCACCCAAACCCTTCACATATACTACTTAAATATATTTATATGTTTAATGTTTGCTTTGCGCCTTTGCCTGTCTGCGTATTGGATAGGTTGATGGGGTGGGGAAACCTGCTTGAGTGGAGAGGCTAATCCGCAATCCCTTCAGTTCTTCTGTTTTTCTGTTGGTTATGCTACGACTTAACCCGGTTTCTACCAAGACACAGACACAGGCAACTCTTTGACTTGTGTATCCACTCTGCTTGGAGGTAGAAGAAGAAGGGATATCCGTATGGCTTCTTTAACTTCCAATTCAAAGTGGAATAAGCATAAAGTCGGTATTTTATGCTTTAAATTGATGTTTACAGTACATTTTACATTTTTATTTCCAACGAATTTTTATTAGTTTTAGTTTTCCAACACTGTTCAGTATTTACCAACAACACTGTTTAATTTATATCCGCTTTAACGCCCTCCAACACTGCTTTGCATGACTGTTGCATGCTTTTATCGCGCACTGTTTGGGCATGTTGAGTGTTGAGTGTTTGCTCTCACTCTAACTTGAATTGGCTACAAAATTGTTTCATTTGTTTCGTTCCAATTTCGATTGTGATTTGTGTTCCATTCCATGGCGTTCTGCTTGCACTTGCTTGCATAATCGCTTCGCTTTCAGATTAACCAAAATTGAATACTTTTCTTAGCCAAAAAACAGCAATCAGACCACAAATCAAATGCTAGAAGATCAAAAAAAAAATTAATAAAAATAAATAGAAGAAATAATAAAAATGAACGTGCAACATTAATATGAATAAACTACAATTTAAATGTCTTCTTCTACTTTTGTCTGCTCTCTCTCTCTCTCTCACTTTCACACTCTCTCTTTCTCTCTCTCTCTCTCTCTTTCTCCCTGCGCTGTTTTTCACGCTCTCCGCCACCGCCTACACAAACCCACAAACACACACAATCACGATCGCTTACTCATGCCAACCCGTTTCCATAACCCCCTTTTCCACTTCTTTTGTGGTGTAATCGTTTATCGATAACCAAACATTCGATGCGCATCATCAACACACACACACACACACACATACACAATTTCAATTGCAACAACTACAACTGATCTATATAAACTACAACATCAACATGAACAACAACCAGTTCTACCAGGTGAAGCTCAACTCTCGATTTCTGTCTACAAGAATTGCCTTTTGATAACTATATCGAATGTTTCTGTTTACCGTTTCTGTTAACTGTTCACTGTTTCTTTTTCCGTTTCGGTTCCACTGTTCATTGCGTTTCGTTTCGTTTCCGTTTCCGTTTCATTTTGTACGTGTACTGCGTGTCTGTTGTTAACGTAATTTTCTGTACATCATTTGTATACTCCACACACTTCACCATCATCTATCTCATCCGGGCTGAGAGTATCTGTCGCTCCTCCCATTGATACGCATTTGTGTCCATGTGTGTATTATATGTATAGCCAACCCATTTCATTCGATTACATATACATAGTTACTTTCATTCCTCGCCTCTCACCCGCTCACCCACTCAATGTCGAATCACTGAGCCACAAGATAAACCACATAATCTTATCAACTGTGAGGATAACCTCAGGTTTCAGCCGCAACCTCAGACTCTCAACTCCCCACCCATCTGTAGGTGCAGCTTATAAACCGTGCCCTGCCCTACCCTACCCTACCCAACCCCACCTTACCATATCCCCATCAGTGTCCCTTAGTCAATTTGTTGGATGTGTCATTTGGATAATTGAGAGAAGAGTTGTGTTCAAAGCACCGCATCGCACCATCCTAATTGATCCCCTCGTAGAATATATATCTGTCCATCGTATCGACCCGCTGCCGCTCTTTCACTCCCACTGACAATCCCTTTACCTCACAAAATGAATAATCCAACAAACAAACAACACACAAAAAAAAGGGAAAAACTTTACTGAATATACTCGAATATACATACATTTGTATGTATGTATATATGTATATTGTCCGTTCCACCTTTCGAGTTGAAAATAAAAATTTTACATTCGGTGCAGAGCTTTTTAATTGGGAAACTTCTGTTGCTGCCGCTGCTGCTGTCCGTAACGTACACGTGAGTGGGTTGACAGGAGTAAGAGTTGGGGGCTGTGGGCTGGATTTTATGCAAGGGCCCTGATGTTGCATTGTTGTCTTAGCCATGGCAACAGCTGGAGCTGAAAGCTGTAGCTGTAGCTGGGACGAACATTGTTTTTGACAATCCAACAAGTTGAAGCGAGAGCTTAACAAGTTTTGTTTTCCGCTGAAGCTCCGGCCCGAAACTGATAAATGAAATGAAAGGGTAAAAGTTGCCTTTATTGTATAGATTAACACCAGATATTCGACTCACTTTAATGCGATTTATTGAGTGAACTTTTGTGCAAAATATGCTGAGCTGCTTAAACAGACATTCGGTAGCAGAAACTTCTTTGCCTTAATGTATAATAATCGATTTATTATCGACTGAGCTGCTTGTGATGGAATGTGGGAATGCGGGTAGGCCTCTATGGAGCCATTCATGTTCATCAGTTCATTGTCATATTGTAGCAGAACCAACTCCAACTCTCTCTTTATGAATACCCCCCGCCTCAATATATCGATATATCGATTATTAATAAACGATTTTAGCCTTAAATTAGCTCTACATTAGCCATACTATTAGCCTTAGCTTTAGCTTAGTTTTAACCCCAAAATCTTTGAATTATAACTTGAACTTTAATCCTAACCTAAAAAAACATATTTTTAACCACTGGAATGCCAATTGTTTCGTTTCGTTTCATTTCGTTCCGTTGCGTTCCATTCCGTTCGGTTGCGTTGGACTTGATTTCTGGTCCAATTTTCGTTTTATGTTCGTTCGTTGATTGCCCCCCGTGTTTGCTGCATGTTGTCCATCCTACTACTACTACTACTCCCCCTAAAAAAAAAAAACACCAAAATATCAATATACCCCCAATCAACAACAACAACAACAACAACAACTCAACAACAACTATGACTACAACAACGACAAAAAAATAAATATATTAAAAAAACCAAAACCGAAACTCATGTTAACCGTATGTATACCAATAAAAAAAAAATAAAAATTCAATCTTCTAATCTCTAAACGCACCCATAAACTATCTTATATAATCCACCACTACTTTAACCTATCCTTTGTGTGTCTTTTGTGTACATAAATTCTCATACCTACTATTCGTATCTTGTATCTCTCGTAAAACTCGCATTTCTTCCTTTCTGAGCAAAAAAAAAAAAAAAATACACTCTGTAATTTATGTACAATGAGAACTAACTACTCAAACGTTGAGCCATTCGATGCGAGGACAGCATAAGTTACTTGACTAATTTGCCGCAGTTGTTCTGTTTCTCGTTTCTCACGTGGCAGCTGCTCGACCACGTGCTGTTCAATCCAGCGCTGTGGATCTACACGCCGGCGAATGTGCAGGCCCGTCTGTACTCCTACCTGGCCACCGAGTTCCTCAGCGATACTCAGATCTACAGCAATGTGCGACGCGTGAGCACCGTACTGCAGACAGTGCACACCCTCAAGTACTACTACTGGGTGGTGAATCCACGTGCCAAGAGCGGCATCATACCCAAGGGTTTAGGTGAGTTTTTCGATTAGCCAGACATAGAGAGAGAGAGCGAGGATCTTAACAGAGGATTTTGTATGCCCTTAATATTTTTAGATGGACCGCGTCCCGCGCAGAAGGATATACTGGCCATACGCGCCTACATCCTGCTGTTCCTCAAGCAACTGATAATGATCGGCAATGGCGTCAAGGAGGATGAACTGCAGAGCATACTCAACTATTTGACCACCATGCATGAGGTGAGTTCACGCAGCCACAGACACCCAATGCTGGGAGTTATATTTACTTTTTGTTTTGTTTATTTTATTTGCTTAGGATGAGAACCTGCACGATGTGCTGCAGATGCTCATCTCATTGATGTCGGAGCATCCCAGCTCCATGGTACCTGCCTTCGATGTGAAGCACGGCGTGCGCAGCATCTTCAAGCTGCTGGCGGCCGAAAGTCAATTGATTCGCCTGCAGGCCCTCAAGCTGCTCGGCTTCTTCCTCTCGCGCAGCACACACAAGTAAGTGGGTGGCAACATATCAGATATATTGTGGTGTTGGGGTGGGGTGGGGAGTTGGGGGTGTCGATACAGTTATCGTTGAAGTGTCTCACACAATTACTACTATGTTAAATACTATGTACCGATTTCTGTATCGAGCAATCGTGTTTCTGCCTTATCCCTTATCCTAAGCGTAAACTCTTCCTCCCTGGCTAGGCGCAAGTACGATGTGATGTCGCCCCACAATCTCTATACGCTGCTGGCCGAACGGCTGCTGCTCTACGAGGAGTCACTGTCGCTGCCCACCTACAATGTCCTCTACGAGATCATGACGGAGCATATATCGCAGCAGATACTGTACACGCGCCACCCCGAGCCAGAGAGCCACTATCGCCTGGAGAATCCAAGTAAGAACACAGCCACAATATTGCCCCCCAATCAGTATACCCTGACCAACCAAATTCGAAATCCAGTGATACTCAAGGTGGTGGCCACGCTGATACGTCAGTCCAAGCAGACCGAGTCGCTGATCGATGTGAAGAAGCTCTTTCTGCAGGACATGACGCTGCTGTGCAACAGCAATCGCGAGAATCGTCGCACGGTTCTGCAGATGTCCGTGTGGCAGGAGTGGCTCATCGCGATGGCCTACATCCATCCGAAGAACAGCGAGGAGCAGAAGATCAGCGACATGGTATACTCGCTCTTCCGCATGCTCCTGCACCATGCGATCAAGCACGAGTATGGCGGCTGGCGCGTCTGGGTGGACACTTTGGCCATCGTCCACTCGAAGGTCTCCTACGAGGAGTTCAAGCTGCAGTTCGCCCAGATGTACGAGCACTATGAGCGCCAGCGCACGGACAACATCACGGATCCCGCTCTGCGCCAGGCCCGGCCCATCAGCACGATCAGCGGCTGGGAGCGCGAGGAGCTGCAGCAGCAGCAGAACGGAGTGGCAGGCGGAGCTGCTACAGCTGCCATTCAGGGCCAGGCCCAGGTGCCGGCTGTCAAGGGAGCCGTGTCTATTGCCTCGCTCGAGGATGTGGCCGCCGCCGTCGAGGAGGAGGACGAGATGGAGGAGGAGACCGTCGAGGAGCTGGAGAGCTTTGAGCTGCCTGTCGATGGCGAAGCAGAAGCCCAGGAGCCCGCAGATCACGATCCCTCCCTCCGTCCCGGCAGCGCTGATGGAGCTGAGGCTCCAACGGCGGATCAGGAGCTGACAGCAGTGCCCTCCCAGCACCAAGTCGGTCATTGCCAATATTTCCGATGTGTACAACGAGCAAATCAAAACGGACGAAGCGCTCCAGGCCACGGCCACGGCCACGTCCACTCTGGCGACGGCGCCCACCTGCAATGGCAGCCTCGAGTCGGAACAGGATGCGGACCAGCTGCAGGTGCAGGTGCAGGTCCAGGAGCTGGATAAGCCACAGTCAGAGCTGGAGTCCACGGCCACGCCTGCAAAGGGTGGCCAGGCTGCGCTCAGGGAAGCCCTGCAGCTGGGCGATGACATGGATGTGGAGGAGCTGGAGCTGGCCACGGCCAAGGATGCCCTCGATGTGGAGCAGCATGTGGCGCATGTGCTGCAGACGTCGGAGGCGGCGCTCAACGACTGCAAGCTGGTCATGGACGATGTCCTGCAGGAGGCCTCCTCAGTGCTGAAAGATGAGGAAATTGAGCTGGCCGTCAATGAGGTGGTTCAGGGTGTTCTCAACAACGAGAAGAAGTCCCAGGAGCAGCAGCAGCAGCAGCAGAAGCAGCAGGAGCAGCAGCAGCAGGAGCAACCGCAGGATAATGTCAGTCTGCTGAATAGCAAGAATCTGCTCAACAACAATTACAACAACAACAACAATCCCAGTCTCAGTCCCAGCGAAGAGGTGACCACCAGAGCCGCAGCGGATGGAGAGGCGGATGGGGAGGCAGAGACGGAGACGGAAGTCAATGCCAACGAGATCAGCACAGCCACAGCCACAGGCACAGGCACTCCGCTCCAGACGAGCGAGAGTCCAGCGGATGCAGCAGATAAAGCGAAAGCGGAAACGGAAACGGGAACTGCGACAAAAACGGAAGTGGCAGCCAGTCCGAGCCCCACACTAGAAGTAACCAATCAAAAGACTGAAGAAGCAGCCAACAAGCTGAACAATAACGAGAAAGTCGAGCAGCCCGAGAGCAGCCAGGAGAGCATCTCCACGCCCGAGATCAGCCTCAGTCCGGACCAGTCCACACCAGAGCCGGAAATCGAGGAGAATCTCCTGCTGCTGCAGCTGGCTGAACCCGAGGTGGAGTCTGAGCCTGAGCGGCAGGCACAGACCACAGCGGACGTGCCAAGTGAGGATCCGGTGGAGCTGGCAGTGCGCGATATTGTGGAGCAGCTGATCGAGAAGGTGATCGACGCCACAGAAGCAGCGGAGACAGACGCTCCAGCCAAAACCAAAACCAAAACCGAGACGGAGACCAACAACAACGAGCTGCCCGGCGCCAAGGAAGCGGCAGCGGCAGCGGCAGCGGAAACGCTGGCCATAGCCGCCGTGCCTGAGGAGGAGAACCCCAACCCCAAGCGGAGGATTCAGCCGAAAGTGTGGCAGCCGCAGCCGAAGAGATTGTCCACGAGGTGGTCGAAGCTGCGCTCTTCCTGGCCCAGGAAACTAAGCAGGCAGTCGAAGAAGAACCAGAAAAGACACCCGAAACGGAAGCTGAAACAGAAGCGGAAACGGAAACGAAGGAACATGTGACGGCCATTGTCAGTGAGGTGCTGGACACGCTGGTCGAGGAGACCGTGCGGGCGGTGGGCGAGACCGTCGTCAGCGTCAACAAGGTGGAGGCCTCGGAGCAGACGACCCAAACCTCGCCGGCACCGCCGGAGGAGCAGCCCGAGGAGCAGCAGCCGCCAGCTACAGTGGCACCCACACCCAAGCGGGTCAAGCCCATGGAGGTGGACTCGACCACACAGACAACGCCAAAGAATGAGGCTGGTGTCGGAGCCAACGCTTCGCTGTTGGCCCAGGACGAAGTGCAGCTGCATGAGGAGGAATCCCAGACGGGAGAACCAGTGGAGGACTGTGAGGAGCCGTCGTCGGGCATCGAAGGAAATGCGCAGCTCGAATCCAGTCACTATGGTAAGTGGGAGTAAAATCCTGAACCCTTGAATCTGACCCTTCAATTCTTCCCCCTCATAACACAGCGAATCCAGCCAGTGGAGAGGCAAAGCAGCAGCAGCAGCAATCGCAGCAGCAGCCACGCTCCAAGTCCGGCTCGACGCGTCCCATGTTCAGTCCGGGACCGACGCGTCCGCCCTTCCGCATACCGGAATTCAAGTGGTCGTACATCCACCAGCGGCTGCTCAGCGACGTGCTCTTCTCGCTGGAAACGGACATTCAGGTGTGGCGCAGCCACTCCACCAAGAGTGTCCTCGACTTTGTCAACTCCAGTGAGAATGCCATCTTCGTGGTGAACACGGTGCATCTGATCTCCCAGCTGGCCGACAATCTGATCATCGCCTGCGGTGGCCTGTTGCCGCTGTTAGCCAGTGCCACATCCCCGAATGTAAGTGTAGAAAACTCAACCAAACCAAAACCCTTTCCACGAATTGATGCCAACGAATTGATTGCAGTCGGAACTGGATGTGCTGGAGCCGACACAGGGCATGCCCCTGGAGGTGGCCGTGTCCTTCTTGCAGCGTCTGGTGAACATGGCCGATGTCCTGATCTTTGCCACCTCGCTTAACTTTGGCGAACTGGAGGCCGAGAAGAACATGTCCAGCGGCGGTATACTGCGCCAGTGTCTGCGCCTCGTCTGCACCTGTGCCGTGCGCAACTGCCTCGAGTGCAAGGAGCGCACCCGCTATAATGTGGGTGCCCTCGCACGGGATGTGCCCGGTGCGGCGCATCTGCAGGCCCTCATTCGCGGCGCCCAGGCATCGCCAAAGGTGAGTACTGCACACACGCTCCCAGTCATTCCAGCTAAAGCGAGAGACAACTAATCCATAGAACATTGTGGAGTCAATCACCGGTCAATTATCGCCCGTCAAGGATCCCGAGAAGCTGTTGCAAGACATGGACGTGAATCGCTTGAGGGCTGTCATCTATCGTGATGTGGTAAGTGGCGAGCAGCACACAGCCCCCATGAATTTCGTTGGTTTGTTATTTCTGTTTTTGCAGGAGGAGACAAAGCAAGCCCAGTTCCTTTCCCTGGCCATTGTCTACTTCATCTCCGTGCTGATGGTGTCCAAGTACCGTGACATTCTGGAGCCACCAGCAGAGCCACAGATCCAGCGCCAGTCGCCGGTGCTGCAGCGCACCTCTGGAGGCGGTAAGTCACCCAGAACTCTGACCCACACACAAATAGGGCAATATAAGATATTCCATAGCCAATAAGGATATATACCATATACTACCATATACAACATATATATATATGTATATGCCATAGGTAGGGGCTCCGCTCCGCCTGCCCGTGTGGACAAGTGTGGGGCCCTCAACTGAAACTGTTTTCGTTTCCGTCTCATTTCATGTTCGTTTCGTTTCGGTTCGTACCACTTGTGTTCTTCGGTTGCGTCTGTCGATCGTTTCCTATTTCTTTTGCGTTCGTTTCTGATTTTGTTTTTCCGTTGATTTTGCTGCACCAAAAACTTCACTCGTTTATGGTTTCTACTTTCGATAATTGTACAAAAAAAAAAAAAAAAAAAAAAAAACCATCTATAATCGAATCTATTATATCTATTTATCTGGCTCTGTTTTGATTCGGCCGTTACTTTTGTTTTTTGTTCTTTTTTCGTTTTGTTCCATTTCCGAGCATTTCATTGCGGCTTGTTTCGCTTTGGTTTCTGTGCGTTTCCTTCTATTTTTGGTTTTGGGTTTTTGTGAACAGCTAAACGAAAGTTTATTCTGGTAGATGCCACATGACCTATGAAAATATGTTAGCCACCCACCTACCACTCCTTCTAAAGCACCTAAAGACCACACCGCACCGCACCGCACATTGTTCCCCACGCTTCCCCCAGGCACCCAGCAGCAGCATTCCATATACCGAGAGAGTACATGTATCCCACCCCACCCCCTCCATGACCATGTCCATGATGTGCGTGTGTGTGTGTGTGTGTGTAATCCTCCCAAAACAATATACCCCGCAAAATCCACAATCAACCCACATCCTATACATCCCACTTAGGCGCACTCTGCACCAACAATTCCTTATACCAGCCACCCCTGTTTTTAGCCTATACATACCTACTATAAATATATATATACGTACATACATATATATATATAATCACCTAGTCGTTAAGTAACACATCCGTTGATTAGCCAGAACCCTGCCAACCAAAAACTACACCCTGAAAAAAAAAAAAAAAAAAAGATAACTCATGTCTGTTCATTGTTCGAGATACTATTCGGTTTTATGTTTCCTTTTCTTTGTTCCGTTTTCCGATGATTTCATTTCACGCTGCTTTTTCGGATTTATTGTACCAAAAAAAAAAATAATTGTAACACAAAAATGGAATAACAACAACAAAAATTATATATATATAAAAACCAAAAACAAATAAAACAAAAAATATCGCCTGGCCTCGCCCCCAACAAAAACACTTAAATCCGCATCCCTGCCCGCCATTCCCTCAATGTGTGTGTGTAAATAAACAACAACGATATAATCACGATTACCATAACGATAACGATAGAAGCGGCCAGTGCGCGTCCTCTGTTCCCCCAATGGTCGCACCATGTCTACCCGCAATTCCTGCCCGAATCGCATCAGAATCATGTAGCTGCCGCCTCCTCCATGCAACACCAGCAGCAACAGCAGCAGCAACAGCAACAACAGCAACACTACTACCACCAGCAGCAGCAACAGCAGCAACAGACATCCCATAACCATAGCCACCATCATACGAGTATGACGGCTGCCTACTACCAGCAGCAACAGCAGCAGGCAGCAGCAACACAACAGCAACAGCAACAACAGCAGCAGCAGCACCAACAGCAGCAACAGCTTGGTGGCAACATCTCACCCACACCCTTGGCCACGCACTCGAGCAGCTCGTCAGCAAGCTCGACGGCCACCTCGCAGCCGGCGTCAAGCTCCTCGCTCTCCTCGCTGGCCTCTCAAAGCCATCAGCAGACGCACCGGCAGCTCCACAAGCAGCAGCAGCAACATTACCATCCCCACCAGCAACAGTCCCATTATGGACTGATCAATGGTCACCAGCAGCAGCAGCAGCAGCAATTGAATGGGAAGCTTTATGGGGAGAATGGATCCACAGCTGGCTATCATCCGCATACCCATCCCCATCCACATCCGCATTCGCATGCTTACGGCATGCGCAACGGAGAGACTGTCACACAGCAGAATGGATTGGCGGAGTACCAGATGCCTGGAGGAGCTGCAGCTGCAGCTGGAGGAGGTCTGGTGAATGGCCATGCCACGGGTGGTGGCAACAACAATAATGCCAACATGATGAACAACATGCGCAATCTGAGAAACGGTCACAGTGCTGCTGCCACACCATCTGCTGTTGGAGCTGTGGCTGGGGCTGGGGCAGCATCTGGAGCTGGAGGCGGCATGAGTAACATGAACATGAATATGGGCATGGGCATGGGAATGGGAATGGGCATGGGCATGGGAGGAGATGGTGGTGTTGGCGTAGGCATAGGCGGAGGCGTGGCGTACAAGACAAACGCCATGAACAATAATTATCGCTACAATGGACAACGCACCGCATCCGTTTCCGGCTCTGGAACAGGTATCGCTCGCTCGAGTGTTTTGTAGATTAGTTTGTAATGTCACGCTATCTCGACTCTCTCTCTTTCTATCTATCTATCTCTCTGTCTCTCTTTATTTATCTATGTATCTCCAACCTGTATCTGTATCTTGTATTTGTAACTCTATCATTAAACTATCTACCCAGCCTCCCCCTCCCCATTATTTAGTATTTAGATTGTAGCGAATATATATTTGATTTCAATTTCTGTTCCATTCCGTTCCGTTCCCTTCCTTTCCTCACTTACCTTTGTACCGTACCTTCTGCCTTATCGTTTCCTTATCGATATGGTTTTTGTGTGTTGTGTTTAGCCACGTATTCCTTTGGTTCCGTAATTCGTAGTCCGTAGTCCGTATCTACTATTATTTACTCGTAGTTATTCTGTCTGTATATCAATCTTTATTCTGCCAGTTCTTTTTTACGAGTATATATGTATATATGTGTGTGTGTGTGTGCGATTGTTGGGTGTGTGTGCACCGCAGCAGAAAGATAATTTTCATTTCCATTTATGGAGTGTTTTTCGTGTTTTTAGTTATTTCTGTCGCTCGTTCTTTCCCGCTGTACCGGAGACTCCTGCTAGAGCTCATTCCAGAGATTCTGTGTGTGCCCCCCCAAAGCCCCTTAAATATTGAATTATTTCCGGGGCTTCCCCAACTCACACACCCCCGCCCGGAACTGATTTAGCCATCGATGGCCGCTTTTATTATTAACATTATTATTACTCGTAGGCATTTTCAAGTGCATAATCCAGGGGGCATACCCCCTGAATGGATGGGTAGGGGCACCGGGAGGCTCACATTTAAATCCCACAATTCCACCCTGACTCTTCCGGCTTAATCAGAATGTGTTTCCTGCCCCGCCAGCTTGCTCCTTTTGGCTTCTTGCTTGCAGCGTTTTCTTGGTTTCTCGCATTTTTTCGGTTTTTGCGGGACTTTTCAGTTTGTGCCCCAGCTTTTCCGTTTTGCGGTTTTTTCTGCTTCACAAATGCACCACCATACATACATACATTTATTTTTTTGGTTTTTATTGAAATTCGGACATGTTTGTGCTGGGAGATGGAAGTCCAGTCCTTCTACTCCTCGTTTTGGTATTTATCGTTTGTCTAAAAAACTATTTACAGCTTTTATTTGTGTGTGTGTGTGTGTGTGTGATGGGTTTTGGGAAATGCGTGGAGAGGAAAAAGGAGAAAAACTTCTTCTAATTGAAGGCAAAGAGTGTTGGTGTGTGTGTGTCATGTAATGCTCTGCTGTGGCAGCTTCGTGTGGCATAGGAAATGGGCAAAGGGTTAAGGGATACGGAAAAGGGGGGGATACGTTATCCAAATTTGCTTTTAAAAACTGCAATCTATCTTTGTAACACCCTTAAATACACACACACACACACACACGCAGACAATGTTGCAGCCACACACATTTTGGACCAACATCAGACTAAAAGTTTTTACCATTCTCTTTCTCTCTCTCTCACTCTCTTGCTATCTTTCTATCTATCTTTTTGCTTCTCTCTGTCTGGCCTTCTTTCTACTCAGCTGGCTCGTCATTTTCATGCTGTCAGCCGACATTTTATTTCATTTATCTTCATTTGCAACACACACACATAGACTCGGTGTGGGGGCCGACTCAGAGGCCATCAGGGGCCGCCCTGAAAATGTATCGCACTCTCCCACACCCAAAATCCCCTATCGTTCGACCCCATCATCATCGTCATCACTGGCAATGAAACAGAATTCGTTAATTTTACATTTTATGAAAATGAATTACATGAAAATTATACAATTTTCCCATTCATCGCGCGACCGTGTGTGTTAGTGTGTGTGTGTGTTTGTGTGTCAGGGCGCATAAAACATTTCGCAGACAGGCCATAAAACGGTATTCGGCACGCCTGCATATTAAAAATTGCCATTGGACATGGTCCGAACTACGCGAATGGAAAAGGGACTCCGCCCCTCCGCAGCACAAAAACAGAGCAACAAAAAATATGTTGGAGTTGCGACGAATAAGGGAATACCCTGCAGCGTTGAATCAGAAAAAGATTATTGCTCCTCGATAGAATTTCAAACAGCAGATAAAAACAAGTGAAGATGGAGTAAATAATTTGTATATATAATATTAGTAGCTGTTGGATAAGTTATCCAACAACAGTAGCATGCCAGCAATCGAACATTAATTGATCCAGCGCTCAATCAAGATTAAGAGGGGTTCGGTTCGGTTCGGAATAGATGCCGCTCCCTGGACATCTGTTAATCATTCGGTTAATCCCATTCGGGGATCATTCTAGGGTAGCAACAACAGCAGCAGCAGCAGCAACAGCATTCCCATTACGTTTTTAATGGCAGCGACAAAAATGTAAATTAGTGGCGCCAAAAAACAAGAAAAACGAGGGAAAAAAAACAGCAGCAACAACAACCACAACAAGAACAGAATGGGGAAAAAACTTTTGGGATAATTTATAAAAAGCAGAAAAAGAGAGCGAGGGAAAAATAAAAAAAAATGAAAAGCGACGACAAAAAAATAAAATGCGAAATTGCGAAGGAAAACAGTTTGTACAACTGTTGGAACCGATAACACGCTCCGAGTTTCTCTTCAAAAGTAATTTGTGGCCAGCACCCGCCCTGTCTCTCTCCCACTCTCTCTCTCTCTGTATATGTATGTGGGCGTGGCGGTGCATGAAAATAATTGCAAAATTAAACGAACGAAAAAAAAGTAGCGGCAGCAGGAGCCGGAGGTGGAATAATGGAGGAGCCAGCACATAATGGATAGAGTGGCCAGCGAGTGCACAAAAGTGTAGCATACTTAATGGGGGAGGGGGGAGTGATGGAAGTGAGAGAAGAGGGCAGGCCGACAGGAGCACGTGTTACATGGCCACCATTCGCATGTCAGGGACCATCATAAATTTCAATTAAGCCGGGCTCAGATCAGGCCAGAGCCAACTGTTAAACAAGGTTAATTTGTAGATAAAACCCAGACAGCACAGCCAGCAGTCAGCAGGCAGCAGCCAGCAGTCCGTAGATGGCAGAAGCCAGAGATTAGGGAAAACATTCGCCAACCCCCCGCACCAGGCCACTCTCAGGAAAATTATGAAAGGAGGGAGCACTTTTCGTGGCTAATTCATGCAAATGCTCCTTACAAATACTCCTTCTCCTTTGCTCTCCTCTCCACTGCTTTGCTCTGTTCTGCTCTGCTCTACCCTCTGTGTGTGTGTGTGTGTGTGTGTGTGTGTGTGTGTATTGTGAGTGTCTGCAGAGTGTCTGCCTCTTGAGTTCTTCTTGTGTTCTGCTTCTTTTTTTTTGTTTGTGTGTGTTTTATTGTTTGGTTAATTTTCCAACCGTACACGTTTTCCATTCGAGTTGAGTTTTTGAGTTTCCATTTCCGTTTCAGTTTTGTCTACAGCTTCGTGCTACAGTAAATTCTACAGATTTCTACTTTAGTAACTGATTGTAAACGAATTGAATTGAATCGAAACACACACGAGAAACAGTCGACATAAACGCTTTTTAAACCATTCTGTGGCATGCAACTAATCGTTCTACTCTCTCTCTCTCTCTCTCTTTTTTCTCTCTCTTTCTGTATTCGTGGTGCTCTGTCGTTTGGGCCATCTCTAGGTGGACGCCAGATCCAGGACAGCGACTACGAAATTATTGTCGTGGATGAGAACAATCCGTCGGTGCTGGCGGATAATGATTCGCATTCGAGTGGACCGCCATCGATTAAGGTGAGTTTTTGAGAACATACATGAGTGAATGAATGTTTGTGTGAGTGTGCCGCAAAAAAGAAGGAGATCTGTCGCATGACTGGGCTTGATGCATGCCACATGTGTGTGTGTGTGTGTGTGTGTGTGAGTGACAGAATCTGCTATATGCGGCAGTGGATGAGTGACTAGAGTTAATGCATCGCTTAGATTATATTTATAAGAAATCAAATATCCAAATACTAAACTTCATTTGCATGTGCAACAAATCGCAAAAAAAAAAAACGAAACCAAAATTTCAAAAATACAAAAAAAAAAAAAAAATTGAAAATCGAAAATGTACCAGGCCAACAACCAGACAACAACAACAACTAAAACAACAACAGCCCATAATATTAACAACAACAACAACAACACTAAGACAACAACAACAACAACAAAAAGTACAACCATTCCGACAGCAGCAGCCGCTGCAACAACAACAACAACAACAACAATTAAAATTCAACAACAACCATTGTCACCACCAAAGCCAACGGTGCCACAGAAATTACCAAAGGTAACAATGAACCACCAACAAAAAACAAAGCAAACAGTCACAAGAAGTACAGCCACAGCCACAGCCACAGTCCACAGCCACAAAACAACTGCAGCAAAACATAGCTTTTGACCGTCTGTAAAACCACCCAAAAAAAACCACTCAACCACCCAACACGCACCATGTTCACCACTCACCCACTCACTTATCACGTACTGCCACATGCCACAGCCCACAAAACATTGAAGCACTGTTACTGTTACTGTTACTGAGATTCGACATTGAAATCTTTCATAATTATACACAATAAATTCGCATGTTTTTGTTCATTTCGTTACGTTTTGGTTTCGTTTCATTTCATTTGATTGAGTGCTTTAATTAGTGCCGCACACACTCACTCACCTCTGGCCTCAATCAGACATATGTACATATGTCTGTATATTCGTGCCCGTAGTCAAATAAATATCAAAACGCGTATATTTTTTTTTATTTGCATACAAATTAATTTAAATTGATGGCTTCAATTGGAAAATTTAACCATGCTGCAAGTGCATATGTTTACTGCTGGCATAAGTAAATTCCGTACTTCGATTTGTAGTGAATATTTCCTGTTTGCAGTGTGCAGACTGTTGCACTTGCCATTGATTTGCTGTGAGCGTGGAAACTCTCAAACGCAAAGAGTTTTAACTTACATCCGAATTAAAGCACAAATCCCTGTGGAAACCCCATTCTCTGCCGCTTTCCATTTAAACTTTTATGAACCTTTTCGAGCTAGCTTTTCCCAATAATAATTATAGCTTTGTGCGTTTGGTTTTTGATTTCTCCTCTGATTTAATTTCATTGGAAACTCATTTTCGTTGGTGGATTTACTTCTTCACGAGTTTGCAATTAAATTCAATTCACTTTTCATTTTGCCATCAACGAATCAAATCATTGAATGAACCGCACCCACACACACCCACACACACACACACAGAACGCACTCGAGTAGAGTAGCATCTCCACCCACGCACCAGTCACAGCCCTCCCTCCACCCGCCACGCCTGCCTCTTTGCTTTTGGGCAAAGGGTGCGGCTGCGTGTCCTGTGTCCAGAGGGCGGTGTATCCCTTAGCCTCCTGTTTGTCTGTTTGTTTGTTTGTTTGTCTATGTAAATGTCCTGTGTGTGCCTGTAACTGTAAACGTATATTTATGTATGTCTGTCTGTATGTGTGTTTGTGTGTATGTATGTATGTCCCGTGCAATTAGTATTACATGACTGTAATACACACACTTGTCTATGTGTCTGTCTGCCTGTTTGTCTGTGTGTGTCTGTGTGTAACACGCACTTCTTGGCTTTTACGTATCACATTTTTCGGTAGCCATTGCTTAATGAACTAATACTCACGCATAATTTATTCCCCCTCCGCACACACGCACACAGCTAATCATCTATCTATGTGGGTGTGCGTGTGTAGTACTAAGTGCAATGCTTTCCCTCTGTCTCTCCATCTCTGCATCGCTCCTTTTCGCTCTCAGTCTCCACTCCACTCCAATCCAATCCAATCCATTCCATTCCACTCAATGGATGCGTGCATATATCACAGTTGACAGGAAGAGATAAGAGCTTGTGTAGGGACTTGGTTTGGATTTGGTCTGCGGATTGGGTCCACTGGATTGTGTATGAGTTTCGAATTTAATTTGGGTTTCTGTGTGCGTGTGTGTGTGTGTGTGTGTGTAGCACATAAGGACACACTGTTACGGACACGAACACGAACACGGGTACACTTTTGAGGGAAAACAAAGACGACGACGACGACGACGACGATTGATTTCGTGTTGATGACATGCTGCAGCACGCACTACTCACTGCCACATTGCCACTCTGCCTCTGCCTCTGACACACGCAACAGCTGACGCAACACGGATATGGGTGTACCGGACCTATCCACATTTCCACATTCAATCGGGCAATAGGGCTGGACAGGCGAGGCATACCCACCTACCCACCTACCTAGCTGGGGGGGGGGTGTGGGGCGCACATGCGTGTGCAGCGCGTGCCGCTGACATTCTGTTGTATTTGACAGTTGACATTTGTCAAACGCTTAAACAAAATTTGTCACATGCCCTCGCCAACCCATTCGTGTGCCATTCCATTCGGGCATTCCGCCGACGCCTAATGCCATTCGGATGAGCCGAATTTCGAGGTAATGGCTCGGGTATCTTCGGTGGTGCGGCAGGGGCTTACGGGCCAAATCTGGACTACTTTTATGCAAATCAGTTTGACAAACTGTCACCGCCATGCCCGACAACGAGTGGCAGGCAGGCAGCAGGCAGGCAGCAGGCAGGCGGGCAGCAGTAGGGAGGAGTAGGGAGGAGTATGTATGAGGATGTGTCGGAATATTGGGGGATGAGTGAGTCGATGACAAATGCATGTGTTGACAAAACGGACGAACGCCTGGACACGAACCATGATTTGCGGGGTAAGCAAAGGAAAGGAAAGGGATGGAAGGGAATGGAGGCTTGCTCGAGAATTTTGATTTATGGTCCAGTGTGCATAATTAATGTGCAAATGATAGGCATACATCAAAACCACCCACGCACAAAGCTTTTAATGTATTCAAACCCACACACACACAAACAGAGAGCGAGAGTGGAAGGAGAAAGTCAGAGGGAAAGCAAAGAATAACCACATCAAGGGTTGCCCAGTCTGGATTGCTCTTCTGCACAAACCCACTAGCCCCCGAACACCCCAAACACCACCCACCCACCCAGCCAGCCAGTCCGTAAATTTATGCATACTTTGATTACCTACTTATTTATCATCTATTCCCCCCACCAACCACCACCACCACCACCACACACACAGAGTGTCGACTCGGACGTGGGCTCCCTGAACATGAACTCAACCGAGAACGAAGTTCCCGAGGTGGAGTCCTCCAGCGAGATCCTGATCGATGACCACCACAAGCCCAGCCACTCGAACGACGAGAGCTGGACGGATGTGAATCTGAACGAGGATGCCGCCGTGCAGGCGGCCAGCGCTGGCATGGTGGTGGGACTCGTCGACGGTGGGGACAAGCACGAACCCTCCGCGGCCAACCATCCACATGGCTCGCATGGACAGCAGGGAGGCGGCGGCGGCGGCGGCACAGGAGCAGGAGGACCTCAGCAGCAGCAGCAGCAACATGGATCGATGGGTCATGGGATCATGGGGGGAGAACGGGGCGACAAGCCCGACTCGGAGATATCTGTGGTGCGTGTGCCCGATGGCTATGGCAGTGGCACGACGGGGTCTGGCTCCGGGGCGCCCGTGGGACCCGGTCAGGGCGTCGGCGGCGGCCAACGGCCGCGGCCCGAGGAGCTGCCAATGAAGGCGCCGGCACTCGTGGCCCAGCTGCCGCTGACGACGCCCTCCCGGGAGGCGAGTCTCACCCAGAAGCTGGAGATCGCACTGGGACCGGTGTGTCCGCTGCTGCGCGAAATAATGGTGGACTTTGCCCCGTTCCTCTCGAAGACGCTGGTCGGCTCGCACGGCCAGGAGCTGCTGATGGAGGGCAAGGGGCTGACCACGTTCAAGAACTCGCACTCGGTGGTGGAGCTGGTGATGCTCCTCTGCTCGCAGGAGTGGCAGAACAGTCTGCAGAAGCATGCCGGCCTCGCCTTCATCGAGCTGATCAACGAGGGCCGCCTCCTCTCGCACGCCATGAAGGATCACATTGTGCGCGTGGCCAACGAGGCGGAGTTCATCCTCAATCGGATGCGGGCCGACGATGTCCTGAAGCACGCCGACTTCGAGTCGCAGTGCGCCCAGACGCTGCTGGAGCGGCGCGAGGAGGAGCGCATGTGCGACCACCTCATCACCGCCGCCCGTCGCCGCGACAATGTCATCGCCAGCCGCCTCCTGGAGAAGGTGCGCAACATCATGTGCAACCGCCACGGCGCCTGGGGCGATGTCAGTGGTGTCGGCGTAGGCATAGGCGGGGGTACAGTTGCTCTGCAGAAGGGTACCTACTGGAAGCTGGATGCCTGGGAGGATGATGCCCGTCGGCGCAAGCGGATGGTGCAGAATCCACGCGGCTCCTCCCACCCGCAGGCCACGCTGAAGGCGGCCCTCGAGAACGGTGGTCCAGAGGACGCCATCCTGCAGACGCGTGACGAATTCCATACCCAGATCGCCGTCTCGCGGGCCCATCCCTCGTCGCAGCACAATGGGGAGCTGCTGGACGATGCCGAGCTGCTGATTGAGGACCGGGAACTGGATCTGGATCTCACGGGACCGGTGAATATCAGCACGAAGGCGCGCCTGATTGCCCCCGGACTGGTGGCACCCGGCACCGTGTCCATCACCAGCACGGAGATGTTCTTCGAGGTGGACGAGGAGCATCCGGAGTTCCAGAAGATCGATGGCGAGGTGCTCAAGTACTGCGACCATCTGCACGGCAAGTGGTACTTCTCGGAGGTGCGTGCCATCTTCTCGCGCCGCTACCTGCTGCAGAATGTCGCCCTGGAGATATTCCTCGCCAGCCGCACCTCCATCCTGTTCGCCTTTCCCGACCAGCACACCGTCAAGAAGGTGATCAAGGCGCTGCCGCGTGTGGGCGTTGGCATCAAGTACGGCATACCGCAGACGCGTCGCGCCTCGATGATGTCGCCCCGGCAGCTGATGCGCAACTCGAACATGACCCAGAAGTGGCAGCGGCGCGAGATATCCAACTTTGAGTATCTGATGTTCCTCAACACGATCGCGGGGCGGACGTACAACGACCTCAATCAGTATCCCATATTCCCCTGGGTGCTGACCAACTACGAGTCGAAGGATCTGGACCTCAGCCTGCCATCCAACTACAGGGATCTGTCGAAGCCGATTGGGGCACTGAATCCGTCGCGTCGCGCCTACTTCGAGGAGCGGTACGAGAGCTGGGACAGCGACACCATTCCGCCCTTCCACTACGGCACCCACTACTCGACGGCGGCCTTCACCCTCAACTGGCTGGTGCGCGTGGAGCCCTTCACGACCATGTTCCTGGCGCTGCAGGGCGGCAAGTTCGACTATCCGGACAGGCTGTTCTCGTCGGTGTCGCTGTCGTGGAAGAACTGCCAGCGGGACACGTCCGATGTGAAGGAGCTGATACCCGAATGGTATTTCCTGCCGGAGATGTTCTACAATGCCTCCGGCTACAGGCTGGGCCACCGCGAGGACGGTGCCCTGGTGGACGACATCGAACTGCCGCCGTGGGCCAAGAGTCCCGAGGAGTTTGTGCGCATCAATCGCATGGCCCTGGAGTCGGAGTTTGTCTCCTGCCAGCTGCACCAGTGGATCGATCTGATATTCGGCTACAAGCAGCGCGGACCGGAGGCCATACGGGCCACCAATGTCTTCTACTATCTGACGTACGAGGGCAGCGTTGATCTTGACGGCGTACTCGATCCGGTGATGCGCGAGGCGGTCGAGAATCAGATCCGCAACTTTGGCCAGACGCCCAGCCAGCTGCTAATGGAGCCCCATCCGCCGCGCAGCTCTGCCATGCATCTGTCCCCGATGATGTTCAGCGCCATGCCCGAAGATCTGTGCCAAATGCTCAAGTTCTACCAGAACTCGCCCGTCATTCACATCTCGGCCAACACGTATCCACAGCTGTCGCTGCCCTCCGTCGTCACGGTGACCGCCGGCCATCAGTTTGCGGTCAATCGCTGGAACTGCAACTACACCGCATCCGTCCAGAGTCCCAGCTATGCTGAGTCGCCCCAGTCGCCCGGTTCCAATCAGCCGCTGACCATCGATCCGGTTTTGGGTAAGTAAAACCCTCCAGCCCCCATCCAGCCTGGGAACTCTATCCATCAACCCCCCCCTATCCTGTCTGTAGCTGTCCATGGAGCCAACAACAATAGCAATGCGGTGAGCCGCCGCCATTTGGGCGACAACTTCAGCCAAATGCTTAAGATCCGCTCCAACTGCTTTGTGACCACGGTGGACAGCCGCTTCCTGATTGCCTGCGGCTTCTGGGACAACAGTTTCCGCGTCTTTGCCACCGAAACGGGTAAGTCGAGATCCCATGCGAGATCCCATTCCTTCCCCAGCCCTAGCAGAGCCTTTGCAACTGTGCCACTCACCCTCCTCCCTCTTGTCTGTAGCCAAAATCGTGCAGATCGTGTTCGGACACTTTGGGGTGGTCACCTGCATGGCCCGCTCCGAGTGCAACATCACATCCGACTGCTACATTGCCTCGGGATCGGCGGACTGTACGGTGCTGCTGTGGCACTGGAATGCCCGCACCCAGAGCATTGTGGGCGAGGGCGATGTGCCCACACCGCGGGCCACACTCACGGGTCACGAGCAGGCCGTCACCTCGGTGGTGATTAGCGCCGAGCTGGGCCTAGTCGTCTCCGGTTCATCCAGTGAGTATTACAGTGAGCAGTCCGGCCCACAGGGCAATGTCATAATTTACCTTTTTCTTCTTGCCCTCTTTTACCTTTGTGCAGATGGTCCCGTGCTCATACACACGACGTTCGGGGATCTGCTGCGTTCGCTGGATCCGCCATCGGAGTTCCATTCGCCGGAGCTGATCACCATGTCCCGGGAGGGCTTCATTGTGATCAACTACGACAAGGGCAATGTGGCCGCCTACACCATCAATGGCAAGAAGCTGCGCCATGAGACGCACAACGACAATCTGCAGGTAAAATATTTTTATCTTTTTATTTATCTATCTATATATTTATCTCTTTTAGCTTCTAGATATTTGTATCTATATCTTTTACTGATAACATTTCGCTCTCTCTCCGTTTTCAGTGCATGCTGCTGTCGCGCGATGGCGAATACCTGATGACAGCCGGCGATCGTGGCATCGTGGAGGTGTGGCGCACCTTTAACCTAGCACCACTCTATGCCTTCCCCGCATGCAATGCGGGCATCCGATCCCTGGCCTTGACACACGATCAAAAGTAAGTACAAATCCCAAGCAAATATACCCACAGACTAGCGTAGCGATAAGGCCCCTTAAATTCCATTACTTAACTCGCTTTTTGTGCACCCTTTCTCCGCTTTTGTTTGCATCTCTTACTTTGCACATTTAGATACCTGCTGGCTGGACTCTCCACGGGCTCGATCATTGTATTCCACATCGACTTCAATCGCTGGCACCACGAGTACCAGCAGCGCTACTAATAATCCCAAGCAGCCACTGACATTCCAGCCCCTGGCGAACACACGACGATCCCCGCTAAGGAGAAATAAACTGAAAGCAGGAGGGAGAAGAAGAGGAAGGCAGCAGCGTACGTTCGAGGAATGGGCGTGAGATGATCGTTGTTTTTTTTTTCTATAGACCTTTACAAACTTTAGGCTAGTAAGCAACACTATGGTTTTTTTTTGTCTAGTAATAATTGTGCGTTGGTGTGTTGGTCAAAAACAAAAAGAAAATTATAAAAACAAACAAAAAATAACAACCAAAAAAAACAGAACAGAAAAGAAAACATTTTTTTTTACTAGAATTACGAATTGTATGTTAAGTTATGGCAATGGAAATGGCGACAGAGAAAAGAGAGGAGGAAACAGAGAGAAGCAAAAAAAAAAAAAACGTGAAAGTAGAAAGCACAGAAAGGAAAGAAGAAACGTAGAAGATGGAAAAGGCGGCTTAAGTAAGTAGTTGAAATAAGACAAATGAAGTTAGTGTTTATAAAACGCAATAAGCAGTTAATAAATATAACAAAAAATTTACAACTAAATTCCCACAGCTAATTCCCACATGCATTACTATAATAACAATTGTAGCAAAAGTTCTCAAAAGCAAAAGTAAATCGATAACAAACCTAAAAAACGCAATTAGATGGAAGCAGCCGAAGCAAGCGAAAGCAGAAGCGGGAGAAAATATAATGAAACTAAAGCGGCCAAAAGTAGGAATGAGGGAAGCGAGGAGCAAAGAGCAAGGAAATAAAGCCAATTTTTAATTATAGCGTTAGTTCTCTGAGCCACACACACACCCAGATAGACACACACACACACACACACACACACACAAATACACACAGATAGACACACAGCAATCTACAAGCAGCAAGTTTGGGCGATAAATAAGAAAAGAAACGAAAGAAGTGCAGGGAAGAGCCATTGCCATTGATGATGAAGGAGAATAGAAACAGAGAGAGAGATATATAATAAAGTGCGGCATTTTAATACACACAGTCACACACTGACACACGTATAGGTATTTGTAGCTAAACTAAAACTAATTCTTAGCTCCGCAAAACTAAATCTAAAACCCCTAAATTATCACAGCACTGCTAAAACGAGCCACACATAAATATACATACACATGAATATGAATAAATATATACATACATTTATCCAAACGAATGGCAGACATTTTGTTCTGGTTCTTCTACCTACAAACCAAATATCACGCATACGCCATGCAGCACCACGCCGCTCGCTTGTCTTAAAATAAAGAGGACTAAAGGGGGAAAAACCAGAAGGAAAGTTCGATTGATTAGTAACTATAAGAGCAGGGCAAAATTTTATCTAATTCTACTTGATTCCACTTCTTTTTTTTTAGATACAAGTAAAAGAGAGAAAAGAGAGAGAAACATGTTTTATAGCGTCCAAAAAATTTGCTTAGCTCCCTCCCACATACTCACAATTGGCTTCCTTGAAAACAACCCGCCCCCTAACCCACCCCCATGTACGTCCAGAACGAAGTGTTTTTTTTTATATATTGTTGGTAGACTATTAACCATATATTTGTGTTTGTATTTTTGTGAGACTCTCTGGGTCCTGGTCGTTCATTGACTCTTGTTTGCTTTGGCCATTGATTTTCGAAACCAAAACAAAAACAAAAAGCAAAAAAAAAAACCAAACCACAATCCATCCACGGCGCACCACTTTGGCACTTACCGATTAGATTTGTATATACATATACCTACATATAATTATCGAAAAAACGAATGATAATGGAAAAGATTACTACGAGTATAATAATGATAATACTTCAAGTATGCAAATGAATAGAGATTAGTGGAAAATGAAAGACGTTCGGTTGTAAAAGCGCAAAAGCGAAATTGAATCAAGTCCAGCTATAAAACCCTCCCTCCCCATATACATACACACATACATACTCGTATGCTATATGCAAATAATATTAATGTTTGTTTATGTCTGATTTCGATCCGTCTAAAGGAAGTTGTGCACTGTAAGTGAAGGGCTCAAATTTGCTTCGATAATAATGAATATAATAGAGGTGAAGGAGAGAGCATGATAGCCATTTTTCTAGTAATTTATTATCTATTTCCCTGAGTGTATCTGTGTGTGTGTGTTTGTATGATTGATTGTGTGGGTGTGTGCTTGTGTGTGTGTGAGCTGAGAATTTAAATTAATTTTTTGCGTTAAAAAAAATCAAACAATTCAAAAATGCTGTCCACAAATGGAATATTTTAATCCTTGAATATGGCAAGCTCAGAGTCCGACATACGATACGAAAACACGATATCGAATTCGCTTTCGTTTCGTTTCGCTCCGTTCGTTCACTTGATATGTGTGTATGTGTGTACATACGCGTATTTAAGGAGCCAACAATTTATGCAAATACCAGATGAAAGGACTACAATGATATACATTAAATCGTAATCCAAGTAAAAGGCAAACCGATTGTTGCTTTGTTCTTTTTTTGACATTTCCAATTTCGTTGTTGGTTTCATTGAATAAAATATTGAGCTGGAAAATTACAACTATTAGTAATTTAAATGTTGTACATAAACCCACAAAGAACCTAGCCTAAAGGTATGTATTTTTAAACGAGATTCAGCAGCAGCGACTATGCAGGCAGGCCAAAAGAGAACAGAGGGAGTGGGACACTGGGGCAGATGCCAGATGCCAGAGGAGTATGAATTCAAATCAAATTAAACGAAAGGAAAATAAATGAATAAAAGCGAAAAATGTATGGGGGGAATATACTGAACACTGATAGCTAACAGCAACGCTGAGCAGTAACTACCATTTTTTTTTTTTGTGATACGCATCCTTGTGCGTACACACACATACATATATATATATATGGATATGTACTTAAATGTATCTGTTATCTGATATGATATGAGAGCTACACTCTAAGCTATTAACAGATGCGATAACAGATGACAGACAGACGAAAGTATATTAACTGCGGAAGCCAACAATTTTTAATTATGCACTTTTTATAGAACTTAGCGATGAGAGAGATATGGTCGAGCGACCATTTCGAGCACGGGGGCAAAATCGAGCATCAATATGAGAGTAAAGAATAATTGATAACGGATTATGGATAACGGCTAACGGATAATGGATAACGATACGAGGTAGTCGTATTAAACCTAAACATTAAATATACATAAATTACATAATGTTTTTATTAACGAACAAACAACAAATGGCTGACAATTTTAAATTTATACAAAATGCAAAAAGGCAAAAACTTCAAATGAGAGATGAGAAAAAAAACCCCAAAGCCTAATTAAAATGAAAAAAAAAAAACAAAAAATACTTACAACAGAAACATATTTAAGAATTAACGATCATGCACGGGCAAGGATTATTTCATATAATTATTTACACATAACGAAGCAAGGATAGGATGGGATGGAATGGAATAGAACGGGAAATATTGAAAGGCATTTTAACAAATTAGTCAATAAATTAATGAAAATCGCAGAAAAAAACAAAGCAAAACAAAAAACTTAAAGAATAACGGTTAAAGCTAACACACAAACACACACACACACATGCAGAGGGAGTATCTTATCGCAATACATACACAGACCTACTACATACATACATACATATATATATATACATCGTATATATATATATTTTGTCAACATTGTTAAATAGCAGACTAACACAAAAAAAAATGCAAATGAAATGAAAGCCAAAATCGAGGACAGAAATTACAATTTAATTAATATTCAGCGACAAATAAAAAACAAAAAAAAAAAGCAAACCAAAATAAGAACTACACAAAAGGAAAATGCTATGAAAATAAAATAAATGTTCAATAATATTGCTAAACGAAACAATTTATATATATATATTTAATGATAAATCTAAATAAAAGTATTTTTTTTTTTGCAAAAAATTGCGTGGCATTATTAAATGCTAGAAAAAAAAAAGAAAAGAGAGAAAGTGCACATTAATTAAGGATTGAGAAGAAATTGAGCTTCAGCGAGCGAAAGTGACTGGGAATAGAGAGGATAGAAGGGATAGAAAGAGAAACGAATGATGAGCGATGGGCAAAAACAATTTATGCATATTAAAATTAAATTTACAAATACGCTACAATTCTAACAAGATAAGTTTACACCCACACACAGACACACACACAACACGCCAGAAGAAAAACTAAAATTATAAAATTAAAGAATAAAAGAAAAAGCAACTAAAATTTCACGAACGGAAATTTCAGTCGCGAGAAAATTTCAAATTAAATTTAAGCTACAACAAATCTAACAAGAAGCGAAAGTGAGCAAGCATTAAAATGAGTAACTTAACAGAACAAAAACAACAAATTATTATGTTCAATAAAAACAGCAACAAAACAAAAGAGTAAAAAATACAAAATACAAAATAAAAACAAATGAAATCTTACAAAAACAATTTTTCGCATTTTGCGAATCTTTTCATTTCGCGTAGAGAAACCATTTGAATGGGCCCAGCCCAGTATTTCGCTATAGGAGCAGTCAGCACTGCTGCTGCACTGGCAAATCAATTCATCTTGGCTAAATCCTCTTTTTCATCTGTGACCTGATTCCACGGTGCCATCGCACACCCCTTCCTCCGGGCCGAACCCTTCGGCAAACTGCTTTTCTGCTGGCTTGCAATAATTTCATTTTCCCAACAATTGAACAGGCAAAAAGGGAAGCAAAGCCTCCACTGCTAAAAAAAAAAAAACAAAAAGAGGAAAACATGCGGGGCCCACGGAGCGTCAGAAACGGGAAGTGGGGGAAAAATACAGGGCCATTGGTGCTGGGGATGGCGAAAAAGATAGACAGTCATCACAATTCCATGGGCTACACGATGCCATTTCCAGCGACGATTCCTGGAATATGGGCACTAAACGACGAAAATAGTGTCGGTAGAAAACGTATCGTGCCATAGGAGCTACCTATAGAAATGACGGCTCCTCCTCGTTCGCGTTCGTGTTCGCTCGGTGCCACGCTCCAATTGCGTTTTCAGTTGCCGTAGCGGTGGGTGGATGAAAAGATAGAGCGAAAAGGAATGGGGGAATGTGGATGGTGGATGGTGGATGGTGGGGATCGTGGGGGAAAGATGAGATAAAAGGAAAACAGCCGAAGAAAAGGTGAGTGCAAGCGGTAAGGATGACGACGACGATGGCGACGACACCGAGGACAACTTTTGAGGCAGCTGTCTAAACACGGAAAATGCATCAAATTGCAACAGGAGCAACGGCAGAGCCAACAGCAACAGCAGCGGCAGCGGCAGTGGCAAATCATCAAAAGTCATATCTCTTTCATATTATGGCAGCCGCCCCTTTTGCAGACACCACTTCACGGCTTGCCCCGCCCCGCCCACTTTGCTTTCTGGAGCGTGTAATATCCGTTTCCTGCATTTCCGGTTGCAGGCTAACGCCACGAATGCAAAGGACGAGCGCAGAGCAAAGTTGCCTGAAAATTGCTAGCGGAAATGCTGCAAAATTAACGAGCAACGCGGTTAGGGGAGGTGCTGAGGTGTGGAGTGTGTAGCATAGCATGCTGGCATGGCGGGCATGGATCCAGGTGGCAGTCAACAGGCAGACGCTACGAGTACCATTTACTATTTGCCAAGAACCACGACCAGGACCAGGACCCAAGCCAAAAGTTAATGCAAACAATTTTTTGCGCTTCAAAGCAGCATCCATTTTTTTTTTTTTGTGCTATTTTTGTTGTTGTATCCCATCTTTTAGCATTTCTCTAACGGGCTCCGGTCTGTGCAAAATGCAAATTCTCACGCGGAGCCAGAGCCTGAGCTGGTGACGAAGTCAGAGTGAGTCCAGCTGGGAGGCAAAAGCAGCAGCGGCTGCAAATTAGACGCATCGCTTAACCAGCAATGACATAAAGCAGCCAAGTGGCAACACAAGCGCTAACAACGTCCTGGAGTCATCATCATCATCAGCATCGTCGGCGTCGTCGTTCCAAGTCGTCATCATCCTAACTCAAATCAACACAAAATACGAGCATCAAGCAAATACAAGTCACGGGAACCGACCAACACATTTGATACCCTTGCAAAGTGATCTTTCCAATACGATGAAGCTATTGAATCTTCCCCGTAGCATGCAGGCGGGTCAAGAATATCCCCATTTACACTTTACACCTTGCAGAGAGTAGCAAAATGAGATGGCAAAAGAAAACTGCGCTTGGACAGGACTGGATGGATACACTGTAAGGTGGGGGGGAAAGGTGCCAGAGATAGTTAAAGAGATGGCTAGAGCTGAAGGGGTAGGGGAGAGAGCAAGGGAGAGATAAATAGAAATAGAAAGAGAATGGTGTCCCTGTCCGTTGAGGGCAAATAAAGCATATGAAATTAATGAGCTCGTCACGTTTTGCGTATGGCCAACTGGTTCGGGGTCACCTTAATTATGGCCACAATTAACAGTGTCACCAGTCTCCTGCTCCCTCAAAGGGCGTGCCACACACAGCGACAGCTAGAGAGAGAGAGAGAGAGACAAGTCTGCAAGGGAGAGAGACAGAGAGGGAACGATGGTGTGGTGCCACACATTTCATTTGGCAGGCCCGGCGACCATATCTCTCAGTGCTATGTTCTGTGGCTCCGACTGTGGCTCTGTGTGGAATCTCATTACAAATTCAAATGCTTTGCATGAGCGCTGTCCCTCCTTGCCTCCGTTGCCCCTACTTCGTGCACACCTGCCACCTGCCTGCCACCGTGCAACATGACCATCTCTCTCACACTCACACTCTCTGCGCTGGCCACCACTTGACGCTGTCCGCATGGCAAATGTTTCAGACCACGTTGTCACTCAATTATGTGCCAGGTGCGCAAAGCGTAGCATACTTTTCAGCACCCATCGCATCGCATCGCATCACCGCCCACCCACCAGTCGCCACTATGGAACCAGCGACTACATTTTCTGGCCAAATATTTACATATTTACCATTGATCTTTAATGTTACGCAAACAATCGTTTAACAGTGTGCACCACTGTTAAGTTGTCAGCTCTGTTTAACAGAGCCAAGGAAATTGGTTGGCTACTCAGTTGGCTGCCTGCCTAAGCGCTTTCCAGTGCACACAAAAATGATTGTGATTGGTTCCATAGTGCAGCCAGGTCACACACACAGACAGACAGCCTCGCACAGGCACTGCCCCAAAGCTTTGCAGCGAGAGGGTGGGAGGCAGAGCGGTAGAGCCACGAGTGAGAGACAGCTGTGGTGCAGCTGACCAGGTGACATAAATAGGAAAGGATTTCCGTGTGTGTACCAAACACTTCAGCCAGGAGACAGACAGCAGACAGCAGGCAGCAGGCAGACTTTACAGAATATGGAATACCCTGTGCGAGACGATTTCTTCTATATCGATAGGCAGAAAAAATTCACGAAAATGGAACAAGAAATTACCCAACACTGCCTAGAGCCAGTATGACTTGTCCTTATTCATAAATCAAGTAGAGATTGACATTTAATTTCTAAATGGAGAATTTTTAATTTAAAAATTCCAATTGTGCCGACAATCGCATCGAATAAGGAGAAAGAAAATGAATAGAACGGACGCGACAAAGCGCGAACAAAAAGGCCTAAAGTAAGTTAGCAAGTAAATTGGTGAAATTGATGAAAATTGTTTTCGATTTCGTTGATAGCAAAGTAAGGCCGGGCCTATTACCACCAAAAACATCGACCAACAAGGAAATAGCAAAGAAAACGATTGGCAATAAAAAGAAATGTATGTAGCGTGAACTGAAAGTGAGCAGAAATGTTGAGCTGCAATTTTGGTGTTTCCCATTTTCAGTCGAGTGCATCAATTCGGTGCGCCTGAATATTCGCATGACCGTCAAGGTGAACTGCTCGGAGGTGTTCTGCAGCCACAGACGCATGATGCGATCCATTCGCGAGCATAGGGCCAAGGTGGTCATTGTCGCCACCAAGGTGTCGTCGAAGAAAAAAGCTGAGATTGATCATTATGCCAAGATAGCCAAAATTCCAGTCGTTTGCTACGCTGGCCCCTGGATCGAGTGCACCAACGGATGGGGCAAAGTTTTCCACCTGCCCATCGTGGCCCTGATCACGCCCAAAGATGCGGGCATCATCCGTTCGCTGGCAGAGAAGTTGGTGGCTGGCATTGCTTTGTTTTTGGATGGGCGATACTTGGAAAAATAATTCAAATACCCACACAAAAATGTGTACAATAAATATATGTAATTACAGGCTGTCATAAATATTACGCTATGTGTTTAGACCTAAGGGAATTCGAAGAAGAAATTCCGATTTTTCAGCTACCCTGCAAAGCTTGTGGGGCAGTAGCAAAAAGGGAAAAAGCAGCATCATTCTTCAGCCCAGTCGACTCGAAAAGGTAATTATCGTATAGCTGCTGTAACTGCCATCGTGTGTGCTCCAGTCTACGCCTCTGCCTCTGCTCTGCTCTGCTCTGCTCTCCTTTCGTTTCCTGTGGCTGCTGCAGTTTGACGAACTTTATCACCCGATAAATAATGCAATTTGTAATTAAGTCAGTCAACCAGTTAGTCGATGTGGCCAGTGCCAGTGGCAGTGCCAGGTAGCGACAGGGATTGGGATATGTTGCAGCCATCCTGTCTGTGTCTCTGTGGCGTGTAATTAGAAATCGTTGCCAAACAACACCTAAAGCCAAGATATATACTCGTAGCAGTGTAAAAAAAAAAAGTACCACAAATAAGTATCTGCATATGTTATCCCACGTTCTGCTAATTGAAAACATTTAAAGGATGACGAGCGCCGTGGAGGTGTGGGAGTGCGTGGAATGTTGTGGCGTGGCGTGGCGTGGCTGGTGGGTGCATGGCACTGATGGAATGTTTGATTAACGAAACATTTAGCATGTTAATTAAGGTAAATGGGGTTGGCCGCAAGAGGCAAAGTGGCATAGCAAGCAACGCAGAACGCAGCATGCTGATGATATTAGCACATAGCTAAACGCACTCCAACAACCGCATGGCTTACACCCACATCCACACCCACAGCTTACACGCACACATGCAAGGGTGCAGTCTACATACATATGTATGTATGTATGTGTGTATTTTTATGCGCAGTAATTGTAGAGTATCAGCGGGTATATTGTACTCCTGGAGATGTATGGAAGAAGGAATACAAAAAAGAGGAGAAACGAACAGGTAATCCCCCATTAAAACTATTTTCCGCCAGCAAGCAACAAGCAACAACAAAAAGCCAGGTATCTGTGGGTTCATATGACACTGTAGCGGCGGCATTCGTTTTTGGGGAAACTGTCAACGCCCCGCAAATTGTCATTGTCCTGCAGGGACTTTTGCTCGATTCCCATTGTTGTTGGTGCCGCCACTCTCCCACCCGCACACTCATTTGTTGCAGCTTACGCAGCTTAATGCACCAACCAGAACAGACCAGAACACACACACACACACACTGCAGTCAGCCCCCCCTGCTCTGTTCGGCCATTCATTTGCATGGAAGATGCATGGAGAGCGGAGCACAAACTGCCGCTCCGACTATTACGCAACATGTAAGCGTATTTGCGCAAAATTAATTCTTTATCTCTCCCCTCCCCCCTCACTCTCTGTCACCATCTTTTGTTGCTTTTGTGCTGTCACCCCACAGCCCACCGCCTACAGCCCACCGCTTCAGCATGGGAAAACAAAGGAGCACAAAAAACGAAGACTGTTACTTCACAAAAACCAAAAGCACCCAAAGGGGTATCCAAAGCGACGAAGTTTCGGATACCCTTGTTACGGATGCAGCCAAAAAAGATACAATAATGCGAAGGACAGAAGTACGGAAGGAATATGCCAGGCTAAACGTATATATATAGAAAAGTTCTGCAGAAGAAGCGACTGATGTTGGTTGTGAATAAAATGCTTTGGTCTCTGCGAGGGTATACAAATTTCCATTAGAGTTTGGCTAGCTTGGGCAAGTGTAGCAGGCAGGCAGGAATTTCCAAATGGAAATGGGATTGCAAAGAGGAAGCGCTAAAGCGAAACATCTGTTGGCAGTGAAGAAAAAGCGAAAAACCATCGAGCAAGTGGAACTGTTTTGCAAGAGATTTATCAGTGGGTTTTCGGATCCCTAGCGGTCGTTGCTAAATGCGCGAGAGCCCAAGGGAAGCTGCCATAATCGAAATGATATTTGCCACGAGTGAGTACGAGTGCTGGTAGTATTTTGACCAATTAAATACTTAAAATTGATGCAGTTACAATCTTGCAGAGAGCCATCAAATGGTTAATGAGACCAAAACAGTGCACAGAGGTGGGAGCCAGTGAAGAGGGGCTGCCAGAGGGGAGTGAGCAATGCGGATGTGGAAGGGAAATGCCACTTTGCGGTCAACAGGAACAGCACGACACGTCAGGCCAGTCCAGGCCAGTCCAGGCCAGGCCACGCCCTTCCATTCACTGCACTGCCCACCTGTCCCTTGACACATGCTCTTCCGCTCGCTCCCTTGGACCCTCACTCTCTCTCACTCACTCTCTCTCTCTCTGTCTCTCAGTGTTATACTGTTGTTTTCTCTTTCAGTCTGTGTCCATTTTCCCAGTGGGTGCGATACACGTTTCATTCAATTTATTTGCCATTTCCCATTTCAATTCGTTTCGGGCCGCCAATTACCCAGCATGGACCCTGGTCATGGGCATGGCCTCTACCTTTCCACTGTCCACTGTCCACTTGCCTCTACCCACTCTCTGCATCATCATCTTGCAGGCCGTCGTCCATTGTGACCATCCGGGGCATCCTTTCACTGCCAGTGTGTGTGTAGCCCAGCTTGAAGCCTTTTCACGCAGCGACGTTGCAAAAACAATGCTGTGGAATAGCTACAAGAGAAAAGCGAGCGTAATGGAGAGAGAGAGAGAGAGAGAGAGAAGAGAGAAAACCAACAGCAGCAGAGGGTAGGACAGTGGATTGGAGGGATGCGGCGGCTGCTGGCTGCTGGCAGTGCCACATCATCATTAGCATATTGACATGTGGCCAAATTTGGTCACGTTCCATTTCATTTCAATTCATTTCGACATCTCGAACGGAGCTCAAATCAATTTCCCTTCTCTATTGAGTCGAGCCCTCCTCCCTGTCATCTTTCTCTTTGTCTCTCGGTCCCTCTTCATTTCTCTGTGGGTGCCACATAATGCAGATAAGTCAAGAACCACACTTGGCTCAAAGCAAGCTGAATTGGTAGCGAGCCAGGGGGAAGCACAGACAGGCGACTGGCCAGGGGAGTGACAAGGAGGATGAAATGCAGCCACCGAACTACGAGAGAGACTAATTGGTGTTGGTGCCTGCCACACACACACAGCGAGAAACGACTGTGGAGCTAATGGATTACTCCTTTGGTTATCTATTTTCGAGCAATATGAAAGTTAATGCCAAATTAATTGCAATTTTTGGGAGCAATCGAATGATTTGCACAGATAAATCGCTGGCTTCCCCAGCAGCAGCAGTGCCAGAAGTCTTTTGCGGCTTGTTTTTCCCCAAAAGGAATTTTCAATTAGAAATTTTCAATTAGATATTTTCCGATTAGAAAATTCATTTCATTTTGACATTTTTCTAAAATGGCAGAGTAATTTTTTTTTTGTAATTTAAATATTCCCAATGTATGGGCGAGAGATGGAGTTCGGTTGTGCCCACCCCACATCCCGCCAAAGCCATCTTCTGTTTGAAAGTTTGCCATCAGTTAGCGCGAATTCCTGCTGCAGCGGCAGCGGCAGCGGCAGCTTCCGTTCGATCTTCGTTGGACGGAATTTTGCCTCAAATATTTTCTCTGTTTTTGCACTATCTCTGTTCACATTGAGCTGCCAGGAATGGCAACAGCAGCAATTGCAAAAGAAGCAAAAGAATGAAAAGCAGGGTAAGCAGCAGGAATCGCAGGCAACCAGCAACATCACAAACAGGAAGCATCAGCACTCAACGGATTCGATGGGGACTCTCCCAGGGAGATAGATACTCGCAGCAGATAGGAGAACTATTTGCCGAGGATAGGGCGTGGGATGTGGCATAGGGGATTGGCTGAGCCCTGAGTCTAATGCCAGCTAAGAAGTCGGCCAGTGCCTTTGACAGGCTTTTGCCTGCCACACCCTGCTGCTGCTGCTGCTGCTGCTGCTCCTTCTCCTACTCGCCGCTGCCCCTCGATAAGGAAAAGTTGAGGGGGAGGGGAGAGGAGAAATTGTGTAGCATCTGCCCCCGACCGTCTTCGATAAGTTTTGCTCTGGCTCGCAATGAGCTCAGCTCTTCTATTTTCTTATATTTTTCATTTTGATTGTCTCGAGCAGCAACTTTTCTTACGCTCCATTATAAAATGCGAGTGAAGTGGAAAAGAGGAGGAGTTCAGGGTGAGATAGGGATTGGGGATTGGGGGTTCGGGTTTCGGGGTTTTCGGGGTTTAGGGTGTTCGGTGCTTAGGGGCTTAGGGGGGAAAGCAGCTTTTGGCACGAAATAATATTTGCATAATAGCAAACAGAACAAACTGCAGGTCTCCGGTTCTGGTGCTGCTGCTGCTGCTGCTGGTGCTGTTGGTTCTGGTCTCTGGTGCCGTTCCTGGTACTTGGCCAAAAGATGACAAATGACATTAAGGAGGCTTAGCGCTTGCGTTTTTCCCGCTTTATCAACTACCCCAGAGAGAGAGAGACAGATGGAGAGTGAGTGAGAGAGTGAGAGAGCAAGAGATGGGGGCATTACCCCTCATCACCATCATCATCGCATTTGGAATTTGACTTTCAAAACGAATGCAGTCAGTCTCCAGTACCAGGCCACCACGTTCCATCCCATCCCATCCCAACCCATCCCATCCCAACCCATCCGAACCCAACGTAGAGCTCCAGCTCTCTGTTCCTCCAGGCAACGCACACTTGTGCATCCGGCGACCTCGTCCTTTGCCACCGAAGGAGACTCTCAGCCTGGTGCTGAGTTCTCCTCCTCCTCTTGCTCCTCCTCCTTCCCTATACAGACTGCAATTATTTTTTGCGCAATGGCACGGTGCAAAGTGGAACAGGGAACGGTGAGAGGGGAACGCAAAACGACGAATGTCGCTGGAACGTGGAACGTGCAGCGCTCTTTGATCCTCTATGGCCATATATTTGCTAACGACAATGACAACGACGATGTCTACCAAAGATTCAGGTGTACATACAAACGTACATATATATATGTATATATATGTATATATATGTATATATATATGTATACTATATCTTTATATAAATAGATATATTTCCCTCTCCCTCTATGGGTGGTG